GCTCTGTGTTCCATGCCATATTGGGAAATTGAAGTTGAGCTGGATGGCCGTGGCCATAGGGTTTTTGTATAGGTCTCGTGAGCTTGCAGAGAAACTGCCAAGCCTCATAAGGCTTATACCAGGAGTCCACAAACTTTTTAAACAAAGGGCCAGGTCATAGTCCCTCAAACTGTTGGAGGGCCGGATTATAATTTGAAAAAAAAATGAATGAATTCCTATGCACACTGTACGTATATTATTTATAGTGCAAAAAACACTTTAGAACAATACAATAATTAAAATGAAGAACAATTTTAACAAATATAAATTTATTAGTATTTCATTGGGAAGTGTGGGCCTGCTTTTGGCTGATGAGATAGGATTGTTGTTGTTGTTATGTGCTTTCAAGTCGTTTCAGACTTAGGTTGACCCTGAGTGAGGGCCAGGTAAATGACCTTGGAGGGCCATATTCAGCCCCCGGGCCGTAGTTTGAGGACCCCTGGCTTATACGGTAAGCCCCTATTCAAAATCGCTGCTTGTGGGAAAGCTTGATTCCACAACTCCCGTTTTAATGAGTCCTCCTCCGCAAATAACCTGCTTCTCGTTTATCTCACCCGAGTTTTTAATCAGTTTTTAATTAGTTTCTCTTTTAATCATTACATGTAGCCCGCCCATTGTGATTGTGTTTATTGTAACTATGTCGTTATGCATTCATATGTTTTATGTAATTATGATGTTGTTGTTTATTGTTTGCATTTTCGGTTTTATTCTGCTGTAATTTGTTGTTTGGGCTTGATCTCATGTAAGCCGCCCCAAGTCCCCATTGGGGAGATGGTGGCAGGGCATAAATAAAGATTATTATTATTATTATTATTATTATTATTATTATTATTATTGCCATTCCACTCCAACTGCCCAAAATGGCAGAGAGCACAGAGTTCATCAAGCCAAAGCCCATCATCCTCAGTTTCCAGCATTGATCTGTGGACAAGTTGATCCAAGTTTTCTGGGTCAGTCTTTTTGCCTTCAAAATTGACTTATACACAAGTATGTACGGTATATGGTAAAGCTGTGTTGTTATTTTAGATTTTCTTCAGAATAAATTCCATATATTGTTAGTCTCTATAATATCCTGTCATGATCAACATTTCTGTTTGTGCAATCTTGTTGTGTAATCTGTAGTTAGGTGACGGTTTTCCTGTGTTGTAATAATGAGAAATGCAAGGGAACTCTTTCTTTTACTGAAATCTATTTTGAAAATAAATGTATAGCTTTGAAAAGCTTACGATAGTATCCATTTTGATATTACAATAAGGCAGAGGGACAAATCTGCAGATTTCGCAAATTGCAGATAGGAGGTCAAAGTTTAGCCACCCTGGGCTACAGTGAAAGTGACTGAATGTGTTCTGGTAGAGACTGTTCATAAGCAATAAGCCAGGGTTACTCCCTAAATTCTGATTTAGAGTGAGATGACAACCCAGACACTAATAACAGCCTTTGCTTGGCAAGATCCATCACTTATGCAAGAATTGTTCTTATGATACTTTTTTTAAAAATTCAATGCCTGAAGTACTGCACTTAGTTTGAGAGAAACAATAGCCAAACGAATATATCATTTGGCATTGTCTATGAATGAAATCTTGCCAAGATTCCATTCTGTTATGTCATGTGCCATCCGTTAGAACATTAATCAGATTGTTTAGATTTCCAGGTGTGTAGCTATAAAATACAATTATTTTCTGTCATCCAGCAACAGTTTTATCTGGTGCTTGAAATGTATATAGTGTGACGGTGACGAGGTATTCATTAACATTTTCCTGGCCAATTCAAAATCATATGTCATGACAGATTTTTTTTAAATTTCTTAGTTTAAGATCTTTGTTGAAATGGTTTGTACAGTTTGAAAAATACCAATATAAACTGGAGACAGTAATCCTGTTCCATGTAGAAAGTTAATTGGAAAAAAATGTAAACACAATAGGGATGAAATAGAAATGAAATATTGTTATAGTGGTAAAAAAATACCAGACAGTAATCCTGTTCCATGTAGAAAGTTACTTAGAAAAAATGTAAACACAATAAGGATGAAATATCAATGAAATATTGTTATACTGGTAAAAATACCAGTATAAAATGGAGACAGTAATCCTGCTCCATGTGGAAAGTTACTTGGGAAAAAATGTAAGCACAATAGGGATGAAATCAAAATGAAATATGGTTATACTGGTAAAAAATACCAGTATAAAATGGAGACAGTAATCCTGTTCCATGTGGAAAGTTACTTGGGGAAAAAATGTAAACACAATAGGGATGAAAGATCAATGAAAAATTGTTATACAGGTAAAAATACCAGTATAAAATGGAGACCGTAATCCTGTTCCATGTGGAAAGTTACTAGAAAAAAAAGTAAACACAATAGGGATGAAATATAAATGAAATATTGTTCAAATATCCCAATGTTATCATAATCTGTTTAGCAACCATACATACACATAGAGCAGTGTTTCTCAGCCTGGGGGTCGGGACCCCTGTGGGGGTCGCGAGGGGGTGCAAAGGGGTCGCCAGAGATCATCAGAAAACATAGTATTTTCTATTGGTCATGGGGATTCCGTGTGGGAAGTTTGGTCCAATTTTATCATTGGTGGGGTTCAGAACGTTATTTCATTGTGGGTGAACTATAAATCACTCTCAAATGTTAAGGTCAACTCCTCCAGTGTTCACATTTTGGCATATTGAGTATTTGTACCAAGTTTGGTCCAGATCTATCATTGTTTGAGTCCACAGTGCTCTCTGGATGGAGGTGAACTACAACTCCAAAAATTTAAGGTCAATGTCCACCAGATCCTCCCAGTATTTTCTCTTGGTCATGGGAGTTCTGTGTGCCAAGTTGGTTCAATTTCATCATTGGTGGTGTTCAGAATGCTTTTTGATTGTAGGTGAACTATAAATCTCAGCAACTACAGCTCTCAAATGACAAAATCAATCCTCTCCCAATCCCACCAGTATTCAAATTTGGGCATATTGGGTATTTGGGATTTGAAAATATATCCTGCATATAAGATATTTACATTATGATTCATAACAGTAGCAAAATTACAGTTATGAAGTAGCAATGAGGAACTGTACTAAGGGGTCGCGGTATTAGGAAGTTTGAGAAACACTGACATAGAGGCACCGTCAGATTAACCACCATTCTCTTATTCTTAATGCTATTTATTGTTTTCCGTCCAAACCAAAATGCTGGCATAGAAAGGTATATAGAGGGATACAGACCTCAATGTCATTTGACAGTTCATAGATTGCCCATGGGTAAAAAGGAAACAGAATTTGGATAGTTTGCATTTTGTACACTTTCAAAGGGCCAAATGCTAAACTGGTGGTTGGGAAACTTTGGCCCTCCTATTACCATTGACAGTGCTCTCTGGAGTTTGTAGGAGCTGAAGTTCAAGACATCTGGAGTATCACAGATTCCTCATCCCACCTAAAAAATATGTTCTTGATGCAATTCTACTCTGTCACCCAAAAGATATGTTCCTGATGCAATTCTCCTCTATCAGCAAAATAGTTGTGCATTAAAACTGGTAACCCTAGGCATCCCTCTGAGTACCAAAAGATACAAGTGAACACTGTAGTACAGGTGATGATGTGCTTCTCTACTAGCTATGTATCTGAAAGGTTGCTTCAACTCAAAGCATGATGCCATGTCTCATAAATTCAAATCTATATAAATAAAAATGTAATGTTTGTTTGTGGGATTCATAGAACCCAAAAACCACTGGACGAATTGACACCAAATTTGGACACAAAACACCCAGTGTATGTCCTTCACTAAAAAAAAATTGATTTTGTCATTTGGGAGTTGTAGTTGCTGGGATTTATAGTTCACCTACAATCAAAGAGCATTCTGAACCCCACCAACGATGGAATTGAACCAAACTTGGCACAGAGTTCTCCCATGACCAACAGAAAATACTGGAAGGGTTTGGTGGGCAGTGTCCTTTGGTTTTGGAGTTGTAGTTCACCTACATCCAGAGAGCACTGTGGACTCAAACAATGATGGATCCGGACCAAACTCTACACGAATGCTCAATATGCCCAAATATGAACACTGGTGGAGTTTGGGGAAAATAGAATCTTGACATTTGGGAGTTGTAGTTGCTGGGATTTGTAGTTCGCTGACAATCACAGAGCATTGTGAACCCCACCGACAATAGAATTGGGCCAAACCTCCCACACAGAACCCCCATGACCACCAGAGTGGGCCACAGCAACACGTGGCAGGGGACGGCTAGTAAGCCAATATGTTAAGACAACCCTTTGTCTCCTACATTTTACAGCACTGAAAACATGCTCTTGATTTTAGGGCATATGGAGGCTGCAAGAAAAATTAATGTTGCTTCCCCCTTCCGCAGGTTTGTTTATGGAAGGTACCCATCAATCTGCTTCACCAACTATTTACAAATCAATAAAATAATGGTGATGTCCTGAATTGAAATAAAATCCATAACTAAAGGTAAATGATGCCAATTCAGATATATTAAAAAATCCAGCTGAGATCACCGTCTTAGATTTCATGTCTATTTCACTGTCACTGCATTGCACACTTTTTGTCAGTTGTTCTCCTTGGCATCCAAGCAATTTTCAACTGTAAGCAAACAGTATTTTGCGCGCCCCCCCCAACCAATCACTGATATATATTTTCTGTTCATCGTGGGAGTTCTGTGTGCCATATTTGGTTTAATTCCATCATTGGTGGAGTTCAGAATGCTCTTTGATTGTAGATGAACTATACATCCCAGTAAGTACAACTCGCATATGTCAAGGTCTATTTTCCCCTAAAAGTGCCTCAAGAGCACTCCTGGACAAAATCAATTGCAAATGCTTACTTTGCGTAATGGTTGAGTCGCCCCTGCATCCAAGTACTTTCTACTTCCAAAATAGTGTATAAACTATAATGTAAGAGTGCTGTATGAATGCTTTCAGTATATGCAGTACTTGTAAAACAGTAAAGGCTGACTTACCTGGATTTGGCTGTGTGGCCGGACAGTTTGAAGAGCATTTATCTCCCAAAGTGTTCACAGCAAATGTGAGATTGGCTATTCTGTCGTCAACGTAGTTTTCCACATTGTTCATGTTTATCAGGTTTATCTGCTCCAGCCGACCCTGTAAGGAATTAATTTGGTTCTTTGCATTCTTCAGACTGGCTGAGAGTTTGGAAACCTTGCTCTGTAATTCCTTGACTCTGTTATCTTGTACTTTGCCCTGGTCTGTTGGACCATCTGTGGCAGGTGGCAGGAACTCATTACTCTCTCTTTCTTGGTTGTCGTCTGCCTGCAGCTTGCAGTCTTGGCAGGATTTCTTCATCTTGTTTACAACTTCCTTAAGGCTCTGCACTTCTTTAAGGGTTTTTTCGATCAGTCGAAACTGTTTGGGTAGCTGGAGGGTCATTGGAGGCAACTGGATCTGATAGGGGCATTCCTCTCCATCACATTTCCCACTGCTTTTCAGCTTTACAGGACATGCCTCTATCGGTTTTTCTTCTCCCAGGCTTTCTGTGCTGTCCTCTGTCAAAGCCGATCCGTTTGGACAAAGCAGCAGAGCTGCCAGGAGCAAAATCATGTAAACGAGCTTCATCTTTTCGCAGAAGCGAGCCCAGTGAGGAAGTATGCAAGGCTTCAGCAACTTTTATAAAGGACAGCTAGTTGCTGCCAGTGAGTTATCAGACTGCCTGCACTGTTCTCAGAAAAGGGTGGGAGTGTCTTGCATCACAACAAACTGCTGTGATATTAATAGCAGAGTGAAGTAGGTAGCTCTGAGAGATTCAGCACTACTTGCATGGTCCTTCGTCATCGTTTCAGCATTTCCCACCTTGGCAGCATTTCTAGAGATACAAAGATCTGGAAAATGTTTAAGTTTTAATTTTTTTAAAAATATAAATTTGAACTTGTGATATGCCTTTTTCTTTAGAAATCAAAAACGAAACTGAATGTATTTGCTGTTCGTGTGTAAGCAGCGCTTCTTGTGATAACGGTCCATTGTTTAGTTGTGTGCTATGTCTCTCCTTTATCTTCCACTATGCAACTTCTTTCTGTGATCCTAAGCTCCGGTACCTTGACATGCTTAATTTTTTAAACCCCTGTTGTGGCGCTTTTACATGACTTTTAACTATTTTTGGTCAGGGAGAGGGGGATATATGTTGTTCATTCGTTCAGTCGTTTCCGACTCTTCGTGACCCCATGGACCAGCCCACGCCAGAGCTCCCTGTTGGCCGTCACCACCCCCAGCTCCTTCAAGGTCAGTCCAGTCACTTCAAGGATGCCATCCATCCATCTTGCCCTTGGTCGGCCCCTCTTCCTTTTCCTTCCATTTCCCCCCAGCATAATTGTCTTCTCTAAGCTTTCCTGTCTCCTCATGATGTGACCAAAGTACTTCATCTTGGCCTCTACTATCCTTCCCTCCAATGAGCAGTCGGGCTTTATTTCCTGAAGTATGGACTGGTTGGATCTTCTCGCAGTCCAAGGCACTCTCAGAACTTTCCTCCAGCACCACAGTTCAAAAGCATCTATCTTCCTTCGCTCAGCCTTCCCTATGGTCCAGCTCTCACATCCGTAGGTGACTATGGGGAATACCATTGCTTTAACTATGTGGATCTTTGTTGCCAGTGTGATGTCTCTACTCTTCACTATTTTATCGAGATTGGACATTGCTCTCCTCCCAAGAAGTAAGTGTCTCCTGATTTCCTGGCTGCAGTCTGCGTCTGCAGTAATCTTTGCACCTAGATATCTATCTATATAAAAATGCTCTGTGCATTATGAGTACCTTCAAAACAAAAGAACCAATGAACGAAATCACACCAAATTTGGCAACGAAATGTCTCACAACACAAAGAGTGACCATCACTCAAAAAATGATGATTTTGTCATTTGGGAGCATTCTGAACTCCACCAACGATGGAAATGAACCAAACTTGGCATACGGAACTCCCATGACCAACAGAAAATACGGGAAGGTTTTGGTGGGCAGTGTCCTTTGGTGTTGGAGTTGTAGTTCATCTACATCCAGAGAGCATTGTGGACTCAAATGATGGATCTGGACCAAACTTGGCACAAATACTCAAAATCCCCAAATATGAACACAGATGGAGTTTGGGAGAAATAGACCTTGACATTTGGGATTTGTACTTACTGGGATTTATAGTTCACCTACAATCAAAGAGCATTCTGAACCTCACAAATGACAGAATTGAGGCAAACTCCCCATACAGAACCTCCATGACCAACAGAAAATACTTAAGGCCATCCAGTCCAACTCCCTCACCAAGACAAGAAAACGTAAACTAAGCCCTCCTGACAAAGAGCCATCCAGCCATAGATATAGATATAGATATAGATATAGTTAGATAGATAGATAGATAGATAGATAGATAGATAGATAGATAGATAGATAGATATGATTCACACACTCAAAGATATAGTATCATAGATTTGAAAGGGACCCTTAAAGAAAGACTATGATATGTTGCATGTTCCAGGGTGGGCAAACCAGACACTCTCCACATCAACACTGACAAAGAAACAGCAAGAAATAGTGTTTACCCACAAGCATAAAGACATTACATATATTAGAAACCAATACTTTCTCATTACTTTATTTTCCAGATCACCAGACTGGGCCACAGCAATGCGTGGCAGGAGACAGCTAATACGCACACACACACACACATGCAAAATATTTTTTGCAACTTTGGAACATTCACCTAAGTTTAGTTTTTACCTTTCACCAGTTCTTTATCATTCCATTTCTAAAACCTGTTTGAGACACTGCAGGCCAGTGTTCTAATCAGTACTTCCACCAAATCCTATTTCCATTGTATTCAGTGAAGAGTACAATATTCAGTTAAAGGAAAGCACACTTTGGCCCAGTGTTCTAAGAGCAAAACAACATCATGTGTCAGATTTACAACCGCGTCAGATGGTATGCATTCTGGAAAATGGCACGTAACAAGCATTGGGGCTCCATCCTGCGTTGGCAACATGTCCCTGGTGGGCAGTGTTGCAATGTGTGCTGTTTCAAACTTTTGGATTGCAGAGCTTTAAATTCTTGAGCAAAGGCCACCGTCCTGGATTTCATATTGAAGCAGGAATGGATCATTGTCATATTTCTCATTCCCGTGTATAATTAGCCCTCCACATTTGTGGGTTTAATTTTGCAGATTTTATTGATTGATTTGAATAATATGGTCTCTTTAGGAATCTCTAGGGCCTCCAGTGTGGTGGATATTGACACTGGAGGATCTAGAGCAGGGGTCCTCAAACTAAGACCCAGGGGCCAAATACGGCCCTCCAAGGTCATTTACCCGGCCCTCGCTCAGGGTCAACCTAAGTCTGAAACGGCTTGACAGCACACAACAACAACAACAATCCTATCTCATCAGCCAAAAGCAGGCCCACACTTCCCATTGAAATACTAATAAGTTGATATTTGTTAAAATTGTTCTTCATTTTAATTATTGTGTTGTTTTTATGTGTTTATTGCACTACAAATAAGATATATGTAGTGTGCATAGGAATTCATTCATGGGGTTTTTTTCCAAATTATAATCTGGCCCTCCAACAGTTTGAGGGACTGTGACCTGGCCCTCTGTTTAAAAAAAATTGAGGAAACAGATCCATGTATATCTTGAAAAAATGTTAAACACAAATTTCAAAATGACATCTCAGATGTACCTTTTGAATATGCCTGAGGAAAAATTAGAAAGAAAATTTGGAAAACATTTGTTTTACACAACAGTGGCAGCTAGAATAGTATGTGCTAGATATTGGAAAACCCCAGATATACCTCCTTTAGAAGAATGGGAAAATATATTATAGATATGTTGATAATGGACAAAATAATTGTATTATTAAGAGGAGAAATATTAGACAACTTTGTTAATGAATGGCAACCAATGATTCAATACTTTAATGTAAAGTTAAATTAAAAATGTATAATGAAGATCCTATAAGACTGTAGACAAAGAAGTGGATGTAAAGTAAGAATCTATGATATCTTTTTATGTATTGTTTAGATAGTAGACTGTGACCCCTTAATAGAAATATATTATCAGATAAATGATTATAGAACATTAATAGATAGAAAGTATTGCACTGTATGCAACAAACACTTGCAAATGTATGTTTACTTAAATAAATAAAAAAATAATTATTCATGGGAGTGGGTTGCCTCAGTCGGGTCAATGTTGCTATTTCATCACAGTCTTGCTTTCAAGTGCTCTGAGTTTCATGTACCAAGTTTTTGCCAAGTTTAAGATTTGTCAATGGGATTTCCTTGCTGTCTTGTTTCATGGATTCAAATGCCCTGTTTCATGGGTTTTGATGTACTCATGGATCTTGTTTTCTTTTGAAGCTTATGGACTATTTCATATATTGACTTTACTGTTTTTGTTATTTTTTACTTCTTTGCCTACATATATTCTTCAATAAATTGGTTGCTTATTTAAAAAATTGAGGATCCCTGATCTAGAGATTCCTAGAGTGATGTTTTCTCAGGCAAAAAAAAAACAACTGTTTATTTTAGTCCCATTCTTCCACTTTGCTGAATGTCCTGTACCCTTAATTCCAGTGAATATGGAGAACTGACTACATGATTCCATCTCTGTATAAAAATTACACTCAGAACAGACCCATCACTCCTCTGTGATGTGGCCCTAACTATGGAATGACCTTGCAAGGGTGATATAATTAGGTAAAGGTTTCCCCTGACATTAAGTCCAGTCATGTCCGACTTTGGGGGTTGGTGCTCATCTCCATTACTAAGCCGAAGAGCCTGCGTTGTCTGTAGACACCTTCAAGATCATGCAGTACCTATTGATCTACTCACATTTGCATGTTTTCGAGCTGCTAGGTTGCTGATGCTGATGCTGACAGCGGAAGCTCATGCCACTCACCGGATTCGAACCTGCGACCTTTCGGTCAACAAGCACAGCAGCTCAGCGGTTTAACCCACTGCGCCATCGGGAGCTCCCTGTGATATAATTAGGATCAATTTTATTTGCTTTTGGAACCAAATTGAGATATTTCCTTTTGTCTATGTTCTTTAAATTTAAATTATTAGACTTCCCCCTTCCTGTTACATGAAATACATTGTCCTCTCTTTTCAATCTTTCTGTCTCACACACACTCTCCTGGTTGCTTTCTGTTTTTAAACTAGAATCTATATAATGTAGTACAATATTGTATATGGAACTGCATTGTACCTATATGTATCTATATGGTTTTGGATTTATTTTTAATATCTTCCTCACACAAAGTAGATACAGTGGAACACCCACAAAAATTGTCATGTAGTTTAAAAAATGACATATTTTCTGAATCACAGGTGCTAGAATGTGCTAAATTCTGGGATTTTAAAATCAAAATAAAAGATACTAAGAACGCAAGTATAAATACCAGAGCAATGTATGTATTCTGACTTTAATTTACTATTCATCTGTCGCAACTCAGGATAGATTCACCTTGCTCAAGACACCACCACACACCAAGGCTGTAGTTTTTGTAGTTTATTGAGAAAAAGCAAAATCAAAACAGAGAAATAAAAATGCAAAAGTTCAATAGGCAAAACAGAGTCTTAAATGCAAAGGCAAAGTATCCAGGTTCCAAAGGCAAATAACATGAAGCATAGTCCTTTAGCATTGGTTAAACAAGAATCCATGGCAGCAAGACAAGGTCTCTAGAAATCAGGTTCAAAATCAAAGTTCCAAAGAACCAGAAGCTTTCCACAAAAGCCAAGGTAATTCCACAGAAGTTAACAGGATAAAAGCAACATTGGACTGACAAAGAATGCCCTTCAATCAGCTCATTAAATGCTCTCCCAACATGAAAGCATTACGTTGACCTCTAGCCTCACGTTTGTTGGCAAGGCGTTCGCTTCTGCGAACTCTTAATTGTAAACGGTCCTGTCTAATCAAGTCTTCACTATCTTCCAGGTTGGATAGCTCATTAACTTTGCCCTGTGGGCTTGGTGGGTCTGGAACCAAGAGGCCCTGAGCTCCCAGAAGGAGCCTCCACCTGGAGCCCCGAAGTTTCACTAACTTTATCTAAAACCAAATTCCTTTCTCTGGGGAACAGAAATGCTGTCTCTTCTTCAGAATCAATACTGTCTGCTTAATTTGTCTCACTAACTGGAACATGTTCAGAAATCTGTAACCCATCATCCTCCTCGTCCTGAAAAAACTCAGGCTGAGAAAGCTCAGGCTCAAACTGAACCACAACATCATCCTATTGATTGTAATGTCAAATACTATTTTGTTTACCGGTATTAACTTGTTGTTGCCAAAAGCATACATCTAGCTGTGTCCACTGGAGGTGGTTCCTATTTCTATATACATAGGAAGCCTACCACTATTTTCTCTCTCTCTGCTATCATCTGTACACTATCATAAATCATTTTATGGAATGCGGGACACGTTATTGGTGATTTTAAAATTACAGTTCTGCAGTGGGCCCTCCAATTTTGTGGTAATTAGAGTGAGTGGAAAAGTCAGATTTGTTTGTTTTTTAAAAAATATTATTTTGGCCTGTGAGAACACCTTTCTAGGAATCCTTAGGTCCTCCTACACAACTTTAGAATTGCACCGGAAGATTTACAGATGCCTACAAAGATGTTCTCTCTAGGAATCTGTAGGACCTCCAGTGCAATTGTGGCCAACCTCTAGCTGAAGACTCAAACTGGAGGACTTAGAGATTGTTAGAACATATTTATCAAATCTGTGAATAATCAAACCTACAAATGTAGACTTTAAACAGAGAATATAGTAATAAAAATTGAGAGAACAGGTTCCCTGTTAGTCTTTATAATCACATGGGGACTGGTAGACAGTCTTTAATTTTTGAATTTTTTAAAATGTGAACATTGGAGTCTTTGTTAAAATACTTTGATATTTATAAATTCATGACATTCTGAAAGCCTATTGATAATAAAGGCAACATTTTCTCCAACTTGGAAAAGATTGAGGACTTTTCTTGGTGTTCCAGTATTTCTGAAATCTTTATGTTATTAATTGTGAAATAAACCATTCCAGGCTTGTGGTTTATCGGGGTTATTGCCAAGTTTCATGTAAAGTTCTTATAAATCATACTTGTCTTTGTTGTTATTTTGTAGTTGTTTTATGCTGGTGGGATACCTGGGACCAGAGTGTCTGAACTGAAAGCAAAATATACCTTCTTGCATGAGATTCTAATAAAGTAAGTTTTAGTCCCTGATGTATAAAGTAATTACTGATGTTGCAAAAGCTGCTTAAAAAATCGATTATGTGTTTCTGCTGAATTCATGGTTGACAGTGAAATATGTCTTTATACTATATGGAGAACAATTTGCAGGGAAATGATATAGATTAGTGGTTTTTAATGGGAATCTGGTATTTGCTGTTATGCTTAAATAACTTAGGAAATAAGTTATTTATTTGTACATCTCTATTTTTGCAACTGTTCAGATTTCTACATTGTTATATTTCAATGCTTTTGGGAAAGAATTATATTTAGTGTAAAATCAAACAGGTCTTAGTGTCCGGAAGCTACAGCTAGTCCAGCGCTTGGCAGCCAGATTACTAACAGGAGTGGGGTACAGGGAGCATATCACCCCTCTGTTGCACCAGCTCCACTGGCTGCCAATTAGCTTCCGAGCACAATTCAAAGTGCTGGTGTTAATATATAAAGCCCTAAACGAGTCCTGCCCAGTTTACCTCTCCGAACATATTCTCCCCTATGAACCGTCAAGATTGTTAAGATCGTCTGGAGAGGCCCTGCTCTCGGTCCCACCAGTCTCGCAAGCGTGCCTGGTCGGGACGAGAGACAGGGCCTTCTCAGTGGTGGCCCTCGGCTCTGGAACTCTCTCCCACTGGAGATCAGAACCGCCCCTTCTATCTTGACGTTTAGGAAACAGGTGAAAACTTGGTTATGGAAACAGGCATTCGATGAGTGAGCTAATACCCAGAGATATGGATGGATGATGTTGAACAACGATGTTGAATGACGACCGACCATTGTAGTTCTTGATTGTATTTGCTGTTTTAATGTTCTGTTGTGATATGAAATATGATGTTTTATTGATTGTTTGTGAGATTGTTGTTGGAAACCGGCCTGAGTCCCTCAAGAGAGGTGAGAAGACCGGTATACAAAATAAATAAATAAATAAATAAATAAAAATTATGAAATTCTCATAGAAACACCATCAGTCTAATTACTTAACTTTTCCATATTGTGAAGGACGTTTTTACCAGAACACTAAATTTTGTCTTATTTTTAGTATCAAGGTGAAATCCTCCACCATATTAAAAGGCAGCAGAATAGATAAAGCTCTCCTGCAACCATATTTAAATTCATTAAATCTCATTATAAAAACAATCTCATTATAAAAATGCCGTTTGTTCCACCAGGAAGACTTCAAAACAAACATTATCCAAACACTTGAGATTTCATTATTGTCCTCTTGGAGTGAAAGGAAGTAAATATCCCTCTGAAATGAATAACAGCAATTTTTCTCCTCTTTTCTATTTTCTATCATCTCACGCCCTTAATTTTGATTCTTGGCAAGGAATGGGCAAAGTGGCCCACAGAGCACATGTGATCTTGGGAGGATTTAGTGTTCCCCGGGACTTCTGTTCACTCATCTTTTGAATAGCGTGGGGGATAACTCAAAATTTGTTCAAAGCTACATCCCCACAAATCCATCAAAAACAAAAGAAATTGTCCAGAAGTTTCTTTGCTGACTGATGGAGGAATGTAGTATACCTGGAGAGAGGGGGAGGAATAAGATGAAAGATGCGTTATGCCCTACTTAGTTGTCCACTTTTGTTTTGAACTGATCATGGAAGGATCCTCCTGGTTGTGCATTGAGTATATAGGCAATCCCCCAGTTACAAACATCCAACTTACATATGTCTCATAGTTAAGAACAGAGGTGAGACAAATTTGTGAGAGAAATCTACCTCTAGAAAGGCCTCTTCTCTATCTGAAAGAGCTATCACGGGGAAAAGGTGTCTCTTGGAAGTCTATCCCTAATCCTTGTTGCCAAAACAAGCCATTTTTTTCAAAATTCAATTCTCACAAGGACAGAAAGTGAGGTGGCACAGATAGCAAAACAAATGCCATGGGGATGTTGACCCTTCCCTATGCTATCCAAAGCTTATATAGATATTTGTTCTGTCTCACGCTGGGCTTGAAATGAAGTGCCTTTAAAACAGGACGTGCAGCTTGAGGCCAGCAGGAAGCCAGGGCCCCCGAAGAGAAGCTCTTAGGGATTTTCCACCACAAACAGTCTTTAGAGGGCTTGTGAAATATAACAAAGTCCTTTATTAATGAACAATCAAACAAACAGAAACTTCTCTTGACTGCAATAAAGCTAGACAAATGCTTCCAAGCTTTATGCAATTGGTTACTTCCTAATCTTGCCCACGAAGGACAGGCAACTGTCTTCAATAACTTCTTCTTTACTTTAAAGGAAAATCCCCTTTTTAACTTCTCCCAGGCTGATTGTAATCTAACCCTTACTGATGTGGGCTCCACTACTGGGTCGAACTGCATCTTGAAGCACCGAGTGGACCTACCAGTAAAGGCTTAGATATTCTCCAGCTGGAGTTCTTTGGTCTTTAGGGCTGTTTTCCTGGGACTCTTTGGAGACTCTTAAGACTGTTCTCCCCCGTAAAGTATTAAGGGTTGAAGCTTTTGTACAGGGGAAGCTTGCACACATCCTGTACATTAGCTTTCCTTGCTGAGACTGACCAAAATGGTTCCTATACCTCTCAGAGCCTGAACAGGGAGCGGAACCAAAGTTTAATGATGATGGACAGGTGGCCTGCCCTATAACTGCAAGCTTTAACAGGAAGCTACCCTTCTGCAGAATCCAAAGCCTTGGACTGCAAGCAAACATTTAATACAAAGCAAATAAAGCTGGAGCTTCTGGTTATAAATATATGAAATGCTAATTATGATTTGTAATAAAAGCTTTGTTACGACTATTTTATGCTGTCTACACTCATATATCTGTCTGTATTTGGTATATATCAGTGAGTGATTTCAAGTATTTTTTTTAATTCCAGTTTGCAGGAATCAGAAATTAAATTATTACAGGATGCTAAACGTTTCACTGTTGAAATAGAGCTGCAGGAACAGGAACTTGAAAAAGCTGATCAATTTCCAGAGGGATCAACTTCAGAGTTATCCAGACTGAGACAGCAGTACCTAAGATACATTAACGAATACAAGGCTATTCAAGAAAGAGAGTATGAAATTCAGTACAAACTAAACAGGTAGGCAATATTTGGGTTGCTATTTAATTTTTGTGTTACAGTATATGCCATTCCAGGCGGAAGTCTGAACCTCTGCCTTGCTTGAGGTTGCATAGAAGAATTTAAGTGATCTTGGAGTACCTTTGAGACTGAAATCCCATCTACACTGACGACAAACTTCCACAAAAATGCACGAAATAAAGTTCTTGAGTCGCCTCCGAGCTCTGTGGTAGTGTCATCCCCATCCAGGCCTCAAACTGGTTCCAGGATTTCCCATGTAATCGCCTCTACACCAAAACTTCAGTACCGTTTTGGAATTGCATAAATGGTCTGTTTAACCTCTTTGCATAAAGCTAAACTGACTGTGTTTTAAAATGCATAGCTGAAGAGTAAATACCTGAGACAGCATGCAACCTGGTGGGGAGATCACTGCAAAATAATAGCCATAAACTGCATAATCTTTTGTTATATAAATAAAAAGAGCTGGGAAACAGATAAGCAACATGGACACATTCCTTGTATCTCTTTCAGCCCTATTCAGTGACTGTTTTCATCTTGGACATGGAAATAATGATAGGGTTGGACCATTGCCTGGCTGCTGTGATGGGCTGGATGAGGGCTAACAGGTTGAAATTGTATCCTGACAAGACAGAGGTCCTCCAGGCCAGTCGCTCAGCCCAACAGGGTATAGGGTGGCAACCCCTGAAGACACAGGTCTGCAGTCTGGGGTCCTCCTGGATTCAGCGCTGAAACTTGATGCTCAGGTGTTGGCGGTGGCCGGGAGGGCCTTTGCACAGTTAAGACTTGTGTGCCAGCTGCAACCATATCTCGAGGTCTGATCTGACCATGGTGGTCCATGCCTTAGTTACCTCAAGATTAGACTACTGTAATGCACTCTACATAGGGCAGCCCTTGAAGACAGTTTGGAAACTACAGCTGTTGCAAAGGTCAGCAGCCAGATTGTTACTGGAGCAAGTTACAGAGAGCGGTCAACCCTCCTGTTTAAACAGGTCCACTGGCTGCCAATAAGTTCCCGGTCCCAATACAAGGTGCAGGTTATCACCTATAAAGCTCTAAACGGTTCAGGATCTGCCTATCTGCGCAACCGTCTCCTCTCTTACAAGCCCACATGGTCCTTAAGATCTTCGGGGATGCTCTTCTCTCACTCCCGCCCCCGTCTCAGGCACAGCTGGTGAGGACAAGAGAGAGAGCATTCTCAGTGGTGGCCCCCCGTCTCTGGAACTCCCTCCTCAGGGAGATTAGGCTGGCACCCTCCCTAGACACATTCCGTACGGAATTAAAGACATGGATGTTTCACCATGCTTTCGATTGATGACTCCTATGACAAATGACCTGCATCATGACTTGAATTATCATTCAATCTGATGTCCTATACTATATTAACTGATCATGTTAATTTACTCTGTTTCCATGATATTTCCTATGCCGTTATACAGTGTTATCCACCTTACTAAACCACTTATCCTCTAACTAGTTCATGTAGTGGTCCTTCCTCCCCCACTCCAAAACTAGCCTGCTGTTATTGTTGTTGCTAGCTATTATTGTTATGTTGTTTTACGTTGTTTTTATGCTGTCTTAATTGTTTTTGCTTTGTTTTTAGTTGTATTCTGTCTTGGGCCTGGTCCCCATGTAAGCTGCCCCGAGTCCCTTCGGGGAGATGGAGGCGGGGTAGAAAAATAAACTACTACTTCTTCTTCTTCCTCCTCCTCCTCCTCCTCCTCCTCCTCCTCCTCTTCTTCTTCTCTATAGGACACAGTTTTTCTCTTTTCAATATATAGGAGAAAAGAAAGAGTTGCACACAGGGGTTGTTGTTGTTTCTTCCCCTCTTCTCGTTGTTGATCAAGGCAGGGGACAACAACATAATAAAATACAACTTATTCAATAAGTTAAAATATATAACCCAATTAAAAGATCAGTTTTGAACACACATACGCACACATATATATACACATACACACACACACTAAGATATATTAAAAACATTTGTTAGGAGGAAGGCAAAACCCTGATTATCCCAGACCCTGTTTTGTGGTCACAGTAGAGTGTGATAAAGTATGGGGCTCATTATGTGGATTAGAATTATGCCTAATAATTTATATTAATAAAATAAACACCTTTCATTTCCATCTTTTCCTCTTTTGTAGTTCCCTGTTTAAGTATGAAAACTGTCCTGGCTTCAAATTACATGGCTGTTAGCATGTTATTGACATTGTGAGGTGAATCCTGTATAGCTGCCCCGAGTCTTTTTGGAGAGGGGTCAAGATATAAATAATGATGATGATGGCCCATGAGGTCTCTTCCAACTCTTTGATTCTATGATTTATCCTATTTGTTTTTCTCTAGTTTACTAGAAGATAAGAGTATTATTGAAAAGGAGTATAAAAGGATCCCCAAAGCTTCTGTAAGTAAATTGTTTATATGACCTGAAAAATCTTTTTGGAGCTGGTTGGCTGTGGATAGAAAGAGGAAGAAACATTCTTGCACCATGTTAGAGTCATGACTTGTACAGTTTCACTTTGCAAATTTCAAAGAAAATAAAGTTCCCAATCCTGTACGCACTAGCATCTGATAAAATCCTATTGAATTCAATGGAGGCATATGTCCGACTGAAAATAAAAAGCCTAGTGTTCCTCTTTAAATGCCCCTGATGGAAAAAAGATCACGTGAAGCAGCCTTATGGTAGACTGCAGCACTTTTCTTTGTTTTCATCTATTTTTTTCAGTGCTAAGGGGAGACGATCTTAATGGTTAAAATAAACTACATAGTGTCACATTTTTCCGATCTAACATATCAAGCCAAGTGTGTAATTTGTTTCAGATTTCTAGTGTCTAAAAAAAATGTTCAGGTGTAACTGGAGCCTTCAGTGGTATCACAATTCTTCTCGGCTTCTAGAGTCCCTTTCAATGCCCGTTTTATCTTACACCAGGTATAGATGACTGCCATCTATTAGGATGCTTTTAGTTTCCAAGTCTTTTAATTCCTGATTGTCACTAGGGCCAGACTCATCTTTAAGCAGCTGCCTCAGGCAGAAGTTGTAAATGGGGGGACGGACCAAAGTGTTGAGCTAGAGTCCCAAGTTTTATGTATGTATCCAGAGGCGGCCCTATGTAATTTTCAATGGTAAGCAAACAGTATTCCCCCCCCCCAACCAATCATTGATATATATTTTCTGTTCGTCGTGGGAGTTCTGTGTGCCATATTTGGTTCAATTCCATCATTGGTGGAGTTCAGAATGTTCTTTGATTGTAGGTGAACTATACATCCCAGTAACTACAACTCGCATATGTCAAGGTCTATTTTCCCCCAAGAGCGCCTCAAGAGTGCCCCTGGGCAAAATCAACTATACTGCAAATGCTTACTTTGCGTAATGGTTGAGCCGCCCCTGACTGCAGGGCTGTTGTGAGCCGAGGGGGCACTCCTCGAGTGGCGGTCGAGGGGCATTTACAGAGGCGCCTTTGCGCCCCTGGCAAAAAAAAGTGTACTGCGACCGCTTACTTTGCGTAATGTACGAGCCGCCCCTGTATGTATCACATGTCCTACCCTGTATGCCCTAAACCAGCAGTTTGTAAATTCATCATAGGGGGTGCTGAAAAAGATATTCAAAGCTTTTTTTAAAAAACTTCATTGAAAGTTCATGCCAGAGTGTGCAGATCTTGAAATTCAATGTACCCCTGCTTTAAAAACAAAAATTGAATCTTTTTATTTTCAAACCTCCATTATACCAAACATATTCTAGGCGATAGGAGTAAATGAAAGAAGTAAGAACTTTGTGAATTCAGAATGCTAGGGGACAAATAAGCCTTCTGAAGGATTCCATGGCCGAAAAAGTTTGGAAACAGCTGCCCTAAATGATCTACTACTATTAGTAGTAGTGAAAGGGGGGGGGAGGCATTGTCTTATACTCCCCATCAGCCAGCCAGATACTGTATTTACTCAAATATAATACTCCCATTTTTTGGCCAAATTACCTTGCCAAAATCGGGGTGCATATTAGATTCACATAATAGGATAATCTTAATGCTGAACGAAAGCAATAGGTCCTCCTGCTTCTGGAGGACCTGGAGCTTAAGGAGCTCCACTGGCTGCCGTTTATTTTCTGGGCCCAATTCAAGGTGCAGGTATTTACCTACAAAGCCCTGAATGGTTTGGGACCTGCCTACCTGCGCGACTGCATTTCCATCTACAAAACCACACAACCTCTTCGATCTTCCAGAGAGGCCCTTCTCTCACTCCCACCCGCATCGCAAGCGCGACTTGTTGGGACGAGAGAGAGGACCTTCTCTGTGGTGGCCCCCCAGCTCTGGAATTCACTCCCCAGAGATATTAGGCAAGCCCCCATGCTGGCAATCTTCAGGAGGAACCTGAAAACCTGGTTATTCCAATGTGCCATTCAGTGATTGAATGTAAGACACTCCCTGACCAAACTTTGCATAAAATGACCCCAGAAGCACTTTATTTTATGGTTCGTGCAATTAAATCCTTCCTCATCCCCGGATCCCCCTCCCCGACAATTTACATTGTCCTATGTCCCAGTGTTTTAAAATTTTATCTCTGAATTTGGCCCTGCCCAGTGTAATCTTTTGTGTTTTAATGTTTGATTTTATATTGCTATGTTGTTTATTACATTGGTTTTGCATTTTATGTATTTTATGTTCTGATTTTGTTATGCTTTTGTGTTATATTGTGTTTATTGTACTGATGGGCATGGCCTCATGTAAGCCACCCCCGAGTCCCCTTGGGGGAGATGGAGCGGGGTATAAATAAAGTATTATTATTATTATTATTATTATTCTATTTGAGGGATGTCATCTGTAATTCAATTGTCATAACTCAATGCTATGTAATCCTGGGATTTGTAGTTCAACAAGGCATCTGCACTCTTTGGCAGAGAAGGCTCAAGGCCTTGTAAAACTACAACCTCCATGATCCAATACCATTGAACCAAGGCAGTAAAAGTGGTTTCATTCTGCAGCATAGATGCACCCCAAGGTTTCTTTTCCATTGCTGAAAGTTTTGGTGCTGTAGCACAATTGTTTTTAAAGAAGGAATTCTAACCAGGCAGCAACTGTAATGGCCATATTACATGACATTTGGCAGCAAATACTTTTTTTGGTTTCAGGGTTTTAAAAATTGAGGTGCGCATTAGATTCGATGGCACATGAGACTCAAGTAAATATGGGTATCTTGGGTAAGATCCTGATTATTGATCATGCTGTTTGCAATTGATGGAGTTCAGAAAATTCTGTAGGGTTACAGTATTACTTCCTTTCTATTATATCACTAGCCGTCCCCTGCCACGCGTTGCTGTGGCCCACATGGGGGTTCTGTGTGGGAGGTTTGGCCCAATTCTACTGTTGCTGGCGTTCAGAATGCTCTGTGATTAAAGGTGCACTATAAATCCCAGAAAGTACAACTCCCAAATGTCAAGATTCTATTTTCCCCAAACTCCACCAGTGTTCACATTTGGGCATATGGAGTATTCGTGTAGAGTTTGGTCCAGAATCATCATTGTTTGAGTCCACAGTGATTTCTGGATGTAGGTGAATTACATTTCCAAAACCAAAGGACGCTACCCACCAAACCCTTCCAGTATTTCCTGTTGGTCATGGGAGAACTGTGTGCCACGTTTGATTCAACTCCATCGTTGGTGGGGTTCAGAAAGCTCTTTGGTTGTAGGTGAACTATAAATCCCAGCAACTACAACTCCCAAATGTCAGGATTCTATTTTCCCCAAACTCCACCAGTGTTCACATTTGGGCATATTGAGTATTCGTGTAGAGTTTGGTCCAGATCCATCATTGTTTGAGTCCACAGTGCTCTCTGGATGTAGGTGAACTACAATTCCTAAACCAAAGGACACTGCCCACCAAATCCTTCCAGTATTTTCTCTTGGTCATGGGAGCTGTGTGTGCCAAGTCTGGTTCAATTCCATCACTGGTGGGGTTCAGAATACTCTTTGATTGTAGGTAAACTGTAAATCCCAGCAACTACAACTCCGAAATGACAAAATCATTTTTTAAGTGAAGGACATACATTGGGTTGTTAGGTGTCTTGTGTCCAAATTTGGTGTCAATTCGTCCAGTGGTTTTTGAGTTCTGTGAATACCACAAACGAATATTACATTTTCATTTATATAGATATTGAAATCTCATTGGTGGAAACCTGTGGATAGAATTTCATTTTGTTCCTCTGCTGTTGTTAATGTTTCTGCTTCAGTACAAATATACACTGTGAGAATTGATATTTTATCAGGAAGCCAGTCAACGAGAAACACTGAAGGACAAATAGCATGTATTTGATGAAATAATGCTTCTATCATATTTGCTAGATGTCCATGGAAGCAATTGCAGTTCATTTTTCCTCCATACAACTTTGTTTTTTTTTTTAAGGAGTATGAGAAAAGAATTAAGGCGCTGAGAGAAAGCTGTGAAGAGCTCCGTAAAGAAACCTCACAGAGGAGGCAAGAAATTAAAGCACTCAAAGAAGATCTGTCAGTAAGGCAAAAGCATCTCACAAAAGATCAAAAAGAACTTGGAGAAATTCTGCGGAAGCAAGAAGAAACAAAAGTAAACGCTGAGCATATCATTCTCTATAATTCTGTCTGCATATAAGTTTGTTTAAAAGACCATTTCCTTTATTATGGTTTAATAGCCGGTTTTTAAAGTCTATACATAGACAACAGGGAAAGGTACGAGAAAAAGCAGATTTTAGAGGAGTAACTGTTTGTCTGATTTAATGTAAAAATAAAAAAGTAAGGGCAGCGGCGGCGGCGGCGGCGGGGGGGGGGCAGACAAATTTCTACATTTTAAGAATGATTTATTTGTTTTGGCATAATTTTCCTGGAGGAAAAACCATTTCTACAGATGCATTGAAAACGTATCACCAGTGTATTCTATATGTTATTAATGTATGTTCTTCCAGTGTCTCAACTTCAGTGTCAGTTCTGTGGCATTTCATAAAACTGAAATCCATGTAGACCAACGCTTGTATTTTTATTCCTAGGATGAGCTAGGCTGTCTCCAAGCCATTCCTATTCAACTTGGAAAGGATATGGATAAAATACACCGCAAAATGATGTACGTCTATTGATATATGTGATGGGTATTCCTGTTAGTACAGTACATAAGCCAGTTGTTATCTACATTAATGCAGTAGCTGAATTTGTGCCAGTCATTTTATTATGGATTTGTCTTGGTGTTGGCATCATATCCCTATATTAATTCGTTCAGTCATTTCTGACTCTTCGTGACCTCATGGTCCAGTCCACGCCAGAGCTCCCTGTCAGCTGTCACCTCCCCCAGCTCCTTCAGAGTCAAGCCAGTCACTTCAAGGATGCCATCCATCCAGTTCCGAGCACAATTCAAAGTGCTGGTTTTGACCTACAAACAATGACGGATCTGGACCAAACTCTACACGAATACTCAATATGCCCAAATGTGAACACTGGTGGAGTTTGGGAAAAATAGAATCCTGACATTTGGGAGTTGTAGTTGCTGGGATTGGTAGTTCACGTACAATCACAGAGCATTCTGAACCCCACCAACGATACAATTGGGCCAAACCTCCCACACAGAACCCCCATGACCACCAGAGTGGGCCACAGCAACACATGGCAGGGGATGGCTAGTGCCATATAAAATCCAAATTATCTGCTTTGAACTGGATTATATGGCAGTGTAGAAGGAGCCTAAGTTCTAGGGAAGCAAAGAGATTAGAGCTGAGCACAGAAATCTATGTTTCTATTGAACACCTTCTGTTCCATCACATTCTTCTTCTTCTATCTTTTGTTGCCTCGCTGTCCTTAATTTTGTCAGTTATTCTTGCCTACAAGGCTTACTTGGGACTGAACATCGAGAAAACCAAAGTGCTGTTCCAGCAGTCACCAGCCATCCCCTCCCCAATGCCAGAGATACAACTTAATGGTGTAACATTAGAAAATGTTGACCATTTCCGCTACCATGGCAGCCACCTCTCCACCAAAATCAACATCGACACCGAAATACAACACCGCCTGAGCTATGCGAGCGCAGCATTTTTCCGAATGAAGCACAGAGTGTTTGAGGACCGGGACATCCGTAGGGATACCAAGGTGCTTGTTTATAAAGCTATTGTCCTCCCAACCCTGCTATATGCCTGCAAAACGTGGGCTGTCTACAGACGTCACATGCAACTCCTGGAACGATTCCATCAGCGCTGCCTCCGGAAAATCCTGCAAATCTCTTGGGAAGACAAGTGGACAAACGTCAGCGTGCTGGAAGAAGCAAAGACCACCAGCATTGAAGCGATGGTCCTCCGCCATCAACTCCGCTGGACCGGCCACGTTGTCCGGATGCCTGACCACCGTCTCCCAAAGCAGTTGCTCTACTCTGAACTTAAGAACGGAAAACGGAATGTTGGTGGACAGGAAAAGAGATTTAAAGATGGGCTCAAAGCCAACCTTAAAAACTCTGGCATAGACACTGAGAACTGGGAAGCCCTGCCCTTGAGCGCTCCAGCTGGAGGTCAGCTGTGACCAGCAGTGCTGCAGAATTTGAGGAGGCACGAGTGGAGGGTGAAAGAGAGAAACGTTCCAGGAGGAAGGCGCGTCAAGCCAACCCCGACCGGGACCGCCTTCCACCTGGAAACCAATGCCTTCACTGTGGGAGAAGATGCGGGTCAAGAATAGGGCTCCACAGCCACCTACAAACCCACAAAAATAGTCATCAAGGAAGACCATCTTACTCGTCCAACGAGGGATCGCCTAAGTAAGTAAGTACTTGGGATTACCTGCACACATGTGCATGCTGCCAAGGTTTGCCTACACAGAAGACTGAACTCACTCCAACCCGGGCTGGCTTCAAACTCATGACCTTTTGGTCAGTAGTGATCTTAATGCAGCTGACTCCCAGCCAGCTGTGCCACAGTTCCAGTACTTCTTTCATACCAGGCCTTCTCATACCAGGCCTTCCTCCTACCATGAGGCCTACCTCACAGAGAAGCCTCTTTACACAGACTGAGGCGTTCCCTCCCTGAGGCAAATTAACAGGCTTCGTCTTACTTACTCTCCTCAGGGTGACCATTAGCTTTGGCCCACTGACTCTTAACAGGCTTTGGCCTACTTACTCTTTCAGTGCTTGACTCATACTTCATTATCAAAAATACCCAGATAATTTTTAATATTTCTGACAGCTTTCCCCTGTTCTTTGCAGTCCCCATGTATCCTCAAAACCTGATGGAGGGTGGGAAACTGTGTAGCATGTTTTGAGTGGCAGAGAGGGCTTCAAGAGATAGGAGAGCAGGCTCCATAATACATGTTAGCGTGCACTGGATAGCATAGTGGATTTAGGCTATTGTTTTGTGTAATTGATTTCTCCCCTTTCCCTCCTCTGCATCCTATATACCAAATACTCATTTTACTAATGGACAAATAATGAGTTAAGAGTAAAAGTTTGATACTTTCATCAGATTCGGGATAAAAATTAAGCCTATTAAAACTTTTATGGGGAAAATGTTCTAATTTACTTCTAAATGTATTATTGAAGAGGTGAATTACTACTGAGTGGCATGGAACCATTTGGGACTTCAGGAAAATATTGTCGGGTGGAAAATGAAGTGTGTTTCCTCTTACACATCATAGGTTAGAAACAAGAATTTGGATTTAATCCTTAAATTGGGTTGTTGTAGGTTTTTCGGGCTATATGGCCATGTTCTAGAAGCATTCTCTCCTGACGTTTCGCCTGCATCTATGGCAGGCATCGTAAGACGTTGTGAGGTCACAACCTCTGAAGATGCTTGCCATAGATGCAGGTTTTTTTTTTATTTGTCGTGTCAGGACAACCAGTCAAATTATATTACAGAACAAAGCAAACAAACAGACAAAATACAAAAATTGTGGGTTTGGTAGTTGATTAAATGTCCTTTGACCAGTATCTGGCCACTTGGAGTGCTTCTGGTGTTGCTGCAAGAAGGTCCTCCATTGTGCATGTGGCTGGGCTCAGGTTGCATTGCAGCAGGTGGTCAGTGGTTTGCTCCTCTCCGCACTCGCATGTCGAGGATTCCACTTTGTAGCCCCATTTCTGAAGTTTGTTTTTTTGAAATACTTTTTTATTTTATTGAGATAGTATAGAGTACAAGGAAAGAGGGTGAATATTTTCAAGAAGATAGAAAAGTAGGAAAATTGTACTAAAAAATTAAAAAAAAAATTTAAAAAAAAAAAATTCAGGTCCCAAAAAAAGGACCCTAAAAAAGGAAAAAGAAAAAGAAAAAAAAGGAAAAAAAAGAAAAAAAATGACTTCCTTCTAATTCTGCCCGTTTTTATATCTTTTTGTCTGTATTTATATAATCCATTTTCTTATTTCTTAGTTGTGAGCTAAGTCCAGTTACTTGTCTTTATGTCTATTTTCCCTATAGTCAACAATTATTAATTATTGACCAAATTGTTAGTTTATCTGGGTTGCTTGTATTCCTTTTTAATTAAGAAAAAAAACAAGTAATATGTCCATGTCTTTAGTTTCATTTAAATTTGTTTGTTTTTTCCTTTTTTCCCAGTAATGCTTCTCTGATATTTCTTTCTGTTTCCATACATTCGCATAAAGTCTTCTGGTGACCGTTGTCATATGCCTGAATAAAGTATCCTCATTTGGATTTAAAATTATGTCATCGTCTATAATTCCCAGTAGGTAATACTTGTTTGGATTGGAAGTTACCTTGTCATCATTATCCTTTCCCAGAGTATCAAAGTCCAGGGAGTTTAATCTTGCTCTCTTACTTTTCTATCCTTTTCTTGGAGTGGTGGACTTCTTCTTTGGTGTTGTTCTTGTACCTAGTTTACGTTCGTAGCTTGAAGGTTTGTTTGCAGGGTCCTCTGGCTCTTGGTCTTTCCTTAATTTCTCGTAGAAGGCCTTTGCTTTTTCTGTTGAGGTCAGCCAAAACTTTTGTTCCTTAAAGSTTGTCATAATGCCTTCAGYCTTCTCCCGCCTGAATCTTATATTTCTTTTTTTWWWAAATTCATCTGTGAGGAAAACGTATTGCCTTCTTTTCATTAAAGYTACTTGTGGGAGTTCTTTTAGTACCGCAACTTTTTCTCCATTAAATTGCAGTGGGAGTGTACTGYTGGCATGTAACACTTCATCTCTAGATTTTTTCTTCACAAATTTCACTAYAATATCTCTTGGTGTTTTATTCTTTTTTGAATAATTGGTAGGGAGRCGATAAATTTGGTCTACTTCCCTTTCTAAAGATTCCACTGAGCTTTTTAAYRAGGTTGCCRGAGTTTCTAAAATCAGTTGTCTTGTATTTTCCTTCGGGTTCTCCTGCATATTTCTTAATCTGAGTTGCTTCTCTAGGTCCTTGAATTCCAAAAGTTCTTGGTTTTTTTCCAATTTCTCCCTTTGCCTTTCCCATGTGTGCATTTTCTCTTGCAGATTTTTCTGGAGATTCTCCCTTTCCTTATCCTTAACCTTTAAAACTTTTATTTCTTCCTCCATCTTAGACATGTCTTTACTCACTCTGCCAATTTCTTCTTTAAATTCATTTTTTAATTCAGTTTTAAATTCCTTAAATTTATCTTGCATCTCCTTGTTACGCATTTCTTGTTTTTGGTTTAATTCTTTCATTTCTTTCTCCAATGAGGTTTGAAAGTTATCTTGTTTTACTGCCAGTTTTTGAATTTCTTTTATCACATCTTTCAAGCTAAATTCTTGTGGTCCTTGAGGATTTCTTGTTAGTGATGACAATTGATCTATTTTTGGATCTTGTTTTGTTTTTACAGTTGGGTCTTGCTTTGCCTTTGGAGTTGCCACCTTCCTCTTTCCCAGATTAATTTTTCACCACCAATCACCAATTCGCCCTGCTCAGTCTTCAATTCTACTCCCGTTGGTCACTTTACYTTCTTAACTTCTGAATTCTGTACCCTTCTGTCTTCTACCAATCTCTGTTCTCCACCGCTCCTCCTCCGTGCTGCGTCTGCTGTAACTCCAATCTCCTCTTCTCGTTAAGACCGCCTACTTCTCCCTCCCTCTCTCCCTCCCTTGAAATCTTTTTGTTTATTTTCTTATTTTTATCACTCTTCTCTTCCGCCCTTCTTCTTAATGGATGTTACCACACTTCCGCCCTCACTGTTGCCTCACTTCCGCCCTTCTCCTGATGTGTTCTTTCTGCCCCGGCTGCAACTCTTCTGCTCTTTCCTCTCGGCGCTCCGCCTCTTCCGTTTCGTCACTTCCTGTCTTCGTCACTTCTCCTCTTCTTTGTTTACAAGACGGTGAGGAGGTAGTCAAAACAACATGGCGCCAAGGTCAGAGTCCTTTTCTTTTCCCAACTTTTAAATGGGCTTTGAGTAGAAGGCACAAGAGGGGGGGGGACGGGTTAGGGATGGGAGAGGGGTATCTTCAGAATTTCTTCCTCTCTTGCTAATATTAGTCCTTCAATTTTCCAGATTATATTGTTGTGTCCTTAAATTTCTGGCTTTTTTTTTTTTCCTTTTTCTTTTTTCTTCTTTACTTTACTCTTATTCTTAAGTCTTAAATCAATTTCTTATGAATAATCAACCGCTTAATCATCCGGTTCCCGTCTCTCCAGGAGTTAGCTCTAATATTCTCCTCTTCTATATTAATATTGCTTCCATGGCAGATTTAGATCCACAATTTTCTTTACTTACCCCTCCAGGAAAAAAAGGGGGGGGAGTTTCCTTCTTATTTTCCGTTCTTCAGTTTAAGTAGGGCTCTAGGCAGTAGTTAATGCAGGATTTTCATCCTGCTTCCCACGGAGCTGCCCGCTGCCGGTGGATTCAAATCCAGACCCTCTCGGCCCCCACCCTTGAGGGGATAGAGGCTTTTGGGGTCTTTGGAAGATCCAGCCTGGCTTCGCGTCCCCCCAGCCCTCAATCCGGCTGAGGGGGGGAGCTAAAAAGCTCTACCTGGCTGCTCAAACGTGGTTCCTCGCTTTGTAGCCCCATTTCTGAAGGTTGGCTCTGCATCTCGTGGGGCCAGAGCGCAGTCTGTTCAGCGCCTTCCAAGTCGCCCAGTCCTCTGTGTGCCCAGGGGGGAGTCTCTCATTTGGTATCAGCCATTGATTGAGGTTCTGGGTTTGAGCCTGCCACTTTTGGACTCTCGCTTGCTGAGGTGTTCCAGCGAGTGTCTCTGTAGATCTTAGAAAACTATTTCTAGATTTAAGTCGTTGATGTGCTGGCTGATGCCCAAACAGGGGATGAGCTGGAGATGTCTCTGCCTTGGTCCTTTCACTATTGGCTGCTACTTCCCGGCGGATGTCAGGTGGTGCAATACCGGCTAAGCAGTGTAATTTCTCCAGTGGTGTGGGGCGCAGACACCCTGTGATAATGCGGCATGTCTCATTAAGAGCCACATCCACTGTTTAGTGGTGAGATGTGTTCCACACTGGTCATGCATACTCAGCAGCAGAGTAGCACAGCGCAAGGGCAGATGTCTTCACTGTATCTGGTTGTGATCCCCAGGTTGTGCCAGTCAGCTTTCGTATGATATTGTTTCTAGCACCCACTTTTTGCTTGATGTTCAGGCAGTGCTTCTTGTAAGTAAGAGCATGGTCCAGAGTGACTCCCAGGTATTTGGGTGCGCTGCAATGCTCCAGTGGGATTCCTTCCCAGGGAATCCTCACAGCTCGGGATGCTTCTCTGTTCTTGAGATCAAAGGCACATGTCTGTGACAGAGTATGTTAGGGTTTTTGTAGGTTTTTCAAGCTATATGGCCATATTCTAGAAGAGAATGCTTCTAGAACATGGCCATATAGCCCGAAAAACCTACAACAACCCAGTGATTCCAGCCATGAAATCCTTTGACAATCCTTAAATTATTTTTACTGGATTTGTATAAGGTTACGGAAAGTGATAGAAAGCAAACAAAGAAATCAGTTTTTTACTCAGCTCAAATTCTGCCCTTGTCCACAGAGAAACAGAAAAAAAGAAAATGGCACTGCAGGAAGAAATGCAAGAGATACGTGACACTCTTAAAAAAATAGAGGCCAAAAATGATGAGGTCATCAAAGAGAAAGATAATGTGATGAAAGAGGTGGATGGAAAAAAAGCTTTGCTGGACAGCAAAGAGCGAGAGTTCTTTAACCTTACAAAAATGTATGAAATGAACAAAGAGAATGAAGGAAGTGCCATAGCAGAAAGGTTAGTCTTCCATTTTTGGACTGATTTTGAAAAAAATTTAAACCTGGAGAACTGTTTTAAATGTATATTTATTATCATTTTATGTAATTTCTTTATATTTATTATCATTTTATGTAATTTATGTATATTTATTATCTTTTTATGTAATTGTGTATTTTATTGGTGTTTTTATATTGTTGGAAGCTGCCCTGAGTCCCTCCTCAGAGGTCGAGAATAGGACGGGATACAAATGTTCTAAATCTATATAAATAAACACAAGAAGCACGTGGACAGTTTCAACAGAAAGGAGGAAACCATGAAAATGAACAAAATCTCGCTACCAGTATTAAAAAAAAACCTCTAACATTACAACAGCACAACAACAGAGAGGAACAATCAGGGACATCTAATTACCTCTCAACAAAAGGTTGCTCTAGGCAATGTCAGTCTATCAAGTGCTAATCAAGGTGGTCAGTTGAAACATTCACACCTAGCTCCAACAGACAAGAGTTCTTTGTCCCACCCTGGTCATTCCACAGATATATAAACCCTTTTCCTAGTTCCAACAGACCTCACTACCTCTGAGGATGCTTGCCATAGATGCAGGTGAAACGTCAGGAGAGAATGCCTCTAGAACATGGCCATATAGCCCAAAAAAACCTACAACATCCCAGTGATTCCAGCCATGAAAACCTTCGACAATACACTGGACAAATTGCCGCCAAATTTGGCCACAAGACACCTACTAACCCAAGGAGCGACCATCACTAAAAGAAATTGTTTTTGTCATTTGGGAGTTATTTATTTTATTTATTTATTTACTTTATTTATATACTGCTTTTCTCAGCCATCAGGCATCTCAAAGCGGTGTTGTAGTTGCTGGGATTTATAGTTCACCTACAATAAAAAGCATTCTGAACTCCACCAATGATGAAATTGAACCAAATGTGGCACACAGGACACCCATGACCAACAGAAAACACTAGAAGGGTTTGGTGGGCATTGACCTTGAGTTTGGGAGTTGTAGTTCACCTACATCCAGAGAGCACTGTGGACTCAAACAATGATGGATCTGGACCAAACTTGGCACTGATCCTCAAAATGCCCAAATATGAACACAGATGGAGTTTGGGGAAAATAGACCTTGACATTTGGGAACTGTAGTTACTTAGATTTATAGTTCATCTACAATCAAAGAGCATTCTGAAGCCCACGAATGACAGAATTGGGGCAAATTTCCCACACAGAACCCCCACGACCAACAGAAAATACTTAAGGCCATCCAGTCCAACTCCCTTCACCAGGGCAAGAAAACGTAATCAAAGCCCTCCTGACAAAGAGCCATCCAGCCGTAGATATAGATAGATATATATAATTCACACACACAGAGATATAGTATCATGGATTTGAAAGGGACCCCTAAAGAAGGACAATTATATGTTGAATGTTTCAGAGTAGGCAAACCAGACAATCTCCACATCAACACTGACAAAGATACAACAAGAAATACTTTTAACCCACAAGCATCAAGACATTACATATATTAGAAATCAACACTTTCTCATTACTTTATTTCCCAGATCACCTGACTGGGCCACAGCAACGCGTGGCAGGGGACAGCTAGTAAATAAATAAATACATTCATGATTTAATTATACTTCTTTTAAACAGAGGCTGTATGGCCATCTGTTGGGGGTGCTTTGAATGCTTCTTGGCAGGTGGTTGGACTGGATGGTCCATGAGGTCTCTCCTAACTCTTATTCTAAGACTATTCAGATATTTATCTGCTGCCATTATATTAGAAAACCCCTTCAGATGATCTCTAAGTAACTATTAGAAATAAATTAGCATAAAAATAGTGAGCAAAATACAAACCAATCACAAGAGAGATACGTTCTCAGATTTTCGATATGTTTGCAGTGTTTTAAAATACTATACAATACAACAATGAAACAAATCAAAGCATTTCAAGCAACAAAAATGAATTGATTGTGTTTAATTGTGCCATTCTTTGTCAAGCTGTCCTGTCCTGTATTGTCGTGTATTGAAAAGTAACCAGTATATTTCTGTACAACTATATAGAAGTATTTTAGAAATGGGTCTACGCAACTGTACCCTGGCAAAGCAAAAGCTGCATGATACTTTGAGTCGCATGCAAAGAGAGAGAGAGCGAGATGCAAGAAATTTTAAGAAGATGGAGATGCAATTGAAAATAGCACAAGAGTCTTTGACCCAAGTTAGAATGCATCATGATAGAATGCAGTTGGAGGTCTGTATAGATATTTCTGTTTAATTTTAACAGTTGATGCCATTGTTACATTTTTCCCCAATCTATCTATCTATGTATATAATAAAAGTCAGTGTTTGTATGTGGAGGGAGGGAGGTGTACGTGGGAGCGTTCTGATTGGCTGCTACTGTGGTACAATTTGCATATGCTCTCTGATTGGCCAGCCTCAAAACTCCAACATTCTGAGGTGACACAGAGAGGAAGAGGCCTGAGGCTGTCAGGAATGGTTGCTGTTGAAGTCCAAAACAACTTGTGCCCCCCAACAATGACAGAAGACCAAACTTGGCACACAGACCCCCCCCCCCCGCGCAAGACCCATTTTACATCCTGGTGCAGTTTGAGGGAGAATGGACTATGGATGACGGGACTTGCAGTACTTTAACTCACTTCCTTAGAGCACTGTGGCCCACACCAATGACGGATCAGGACTAAACTTGGCACACAGAGGACCAATGGCCCACTTTAAAACCTGGTGTGGTTTAGGGCAGGATGGGCCAAGAATGATGGGATTTGCAGTACCTTCATCTGATTCGCTTCCCACAGAACATTGTAGCCCCTCCAAATCACAGACCAGACCCAAACTTGGCACACAGAGTACTAATGAACCACTCTACATCCTGATGCAGTTCTAAGGGGGGATGGACCATGGATGATGGGATTTGCAGTACCTTCACTCATTCACTGAAACCACTGCGACCCACATCCAATGATTGATCAAGACCAAACTTGGCACCCAGAGCCCCTATGACGCATTCTACATCCTGCTGCAGTTTGGAGGAGGGTGAACCATGGATGATGGGACTTGCAGTACCTTCACTCACTTACTGAAACCACTGCGACCCTCATCCAATGACTGATCAAGACCAAACTTGGCACCCAGAGCCCCTATGATGCACTCTACACCCTGCTGCAGTTGGACCATGGATGATGGGACTTGCAGTATCTTCATTCACTTACTGAAACCACTGTGACCCTCATCCAATGACTGATCAAGACCAAACTTGGCACACAGAGCCCCCATGACCCAGTCTACATCCTACTGCAGTTTGAAGGAGGATGGACCATGGATGATGGGACTTGCAATACCTTCACCCACTTACTGAAACCACTACGACCCTCATCCAATGATCAATAAAGACCAAACTTGGCACACAGAGCCCCCATGACCCACTCTACATCCTGCTGCAGTTGAGAGGAGGACAGACCACAGATGATGGGGCTTGCAGTTCTTTAACTCGCTTCCTTAGGGCACAGAACCCCCATTACCCACTTTCTCTAATAACCCGGGCAGCACCGGGTCCCCAATGTAGTATCATAATATAAATGCCTTCCCTCCATCATTCCTCACAAAGTCTTTATGTAGCTCATACTTGAGAAAGAAGAGAATCACAAATGTGAACAAGAGAGTGGAACAAGTGAGCTATTATAAACAAAATCTACCCATAATAATGTAATCTCTGTGTATGGAATATATGGAAAGATAGTATATATACACACATCTTTATATTACTAGTGTAAACCTGTGTTGCCATGGGAATTTTTTTGCAGGATTTTCTTGGCAAATTTTGTTCAGAGGGGAGAGGTTACCATCCTCGGAGGCTGAGAAAATGTGACTTAACCAATGAGCCCTGGACTCCATCTACACTGCCATTTAATGGTTTATATACATGTGCCACTTAATCAGAGGAGCCCCCAGTGGCGCAGTGGGTTAAACCCTTGTGCCGGCAGGACTGAAGACCAACAGGTCACAGGTTCGAATCCGGGGAGAGGCGGATGAGCTCCCTCTATCAGCTCCAGCTCCTCATGCAGGGACATGAGAGAAGCCTCCCACAAGGATGGTAAAAACATCAAAACATCCGAGCGTCCCCTGGGCAATGTCCTTGCAGACAGCCAATTCTCTCACACCAGAAGCTACTTGTGGTTTCTCAAGTCGCTCCTGACATCGCTGCTCCTGACATCTCTCTCTCTCTCTCTCTCTCTATATATATATATATATAGCTCATTGCAGTTATGCGGCATTATATGCGCCTATATGACATGTGGATGAGATTTCAATATCCTGAATCATAGCCAATACTGAAAACAATTTACTAAATTGGTGTAGTATGGAAATTAACACAATTTGGTCTCAAAGATCTGAGGGGGTGAAATGAGGTTAAGACTATCTACCAAAGGTTATTGCAAGATTGCCTGAGGGTTATCCACCCACAGAGGCTGGATCTACATAGCCCTATATCCCAGGATCTGACCCCAGATTATCTTCCACATTACCACATTGTTTTTTTTTTTAGTTTAAAAATCCATATAGCACTAGCTTTCCCTGCCATGCGTTGCTGTGGCCCACTTTACCTCCCTCTTTCTCTCCTTCTTTCCCTCATTCCCTTTTCTTCTTTCCTTCTCTCCTTCCTTCCTTCTCTTCCTCTTTCCTTCTTCCTTTTTTCTTTTCTTTCCCTTTCTCTTTCTTCCTTCTCTGCCTCTTTCCTTCCTTCCTTCCTTTGGTTTTTGTTTCCATTCTTCCTTTTGTCTGTCCTTCCTTCCCCCCTCTTTCTCTTTCTTTCTCTTCTTCCTTCTCTCCTCTTTCCTTCCTTTTCTTTCCTTATCTCCTTCCTTCTTTCTCTACCCATTTCTTTCCATCCCTCTTCTTTTCCTCTTTCTCTCTTTTCTTCCTTCTCTACCTCTTTCCTTCCTTCCTTTGCTCTTTGCTTCCATGTTTCCCTTCTCTGTTCCTTCCTTCCTTCAATGTTTTTCCTCTTCCTTGATTGGGCCCGCCGCCTAGGAGGCTGCAACCACCGCGTCGCTCGGCGAGGCCTCGGTTGTTATGGCGGTTCCGCCGGAAGTGCTGGGAGCAAGACTGACAGGCGAGGGAGCGGAAGTGCGGGAAGGGGTGGGGGTGGGGGCGAAGGAAGGGGGCGTGACTTCCCGGAGGGGGCGTGGGAGGAGGGAAGGATTGAGTCAGGGCGGGAAGGGGCGGGGCGGCGAAGGGAGGGGCCGTGAGGAAGAGGAGGTGGTGTTGGTGGTGGAGGAGGAGGTAGAGGAGGGAAAGAATTGAGTCAGGGCGGGTAGGGGCGGGGCGGCAAAGGGAGGGGGCGTGGCTTCCTTGGAGGGGGCGTGGTCGGCGGAGGAGGAGGAGGGAAAGAATTGAGTCAGGGCGGGTAGGGGTGGGGCGGCGAAGGGAGGGGGCGTGGTTTGCGGCGAGGGAGCGTTGTCTGGCAAAGTGCGCGCGGCGGGGGACTCGCGCCGGGGCGCCTCTGCGCATGCTCCCTTTGTTTTCGAAATTGTGGGTTTGTTGAAATGTTGTTTACTATTTTGATGAGAGTTGTGCATACCTTGTGGGTTGAGGTATGTGCGCGCCAAGTTTGGGGAGTTTTGGTCCAGGGGTTTTCACGTTTTGCTGTCCCGTTGAATGCCCTTTCTCTTTTTATATATATAGATTTGAGGAAAACACTTTAAATTACTGTCTATATTCAAATGCTGTAGTTCCTTTCTTTGGAATTTATAACTTTTTGTTTGTTTGCTTCCCCTTTTCTAGGTAGATTCTGTTCCAAAAGATGATGGATCGCTATTAGAAAGGCGAAAGGAGCTCCAGAAAGAAGTTGAAAGTATTAAGAGAAACCTAGCCCAGGAGGTGAGTGATTACTATTCTTCGGTTGATACCTTTCTAGTGTAGTCTTCATTCTTTAACATAAAAATATTTGTCAAACATTTGTTTTACTGCCTCTCTGCAGAGTTAGCCCATTAATATATTGAGAAATGTAATGCAAGTTGAGTATTCTTTATATAAAATGCTTGAAATCAGAAGTGTTTTGGATTTTGTCCTATATTGACATGTATATCCATAATGAGAGATCTTGGAGATGGGACCCAAATTTAATTACAAAGTTCACTGATATTTCATATATACTTTATACACTCTGAATGTAATATTTGTACAATACATTAAATATTTTTGTGCATAACATAAAATTTGTGTTCATTAAACCATCAGAAATGTAATGTTATTTTGTAATGTATTTATTGTAATGTCATTTTGTTATTGTATTCATGTGTTTTTTAAATGTAATTTTGTTGATGTTGCTTATTGTTTATATTTTGGTTTTATTTTGATGTAATATGTTGTCCAGGCTTGGCCCCATGTAAGCTGCTCCGAGTCCCTATTGGGGAGACTGTGGCGGGGTATAAATAATAATAATAATAATAATAATAATAATAATAATAATAATAATAATAATAACACTTTATTTGTACCCTGATACCATCTCCCCAAGGGACTCGGTGCGGCTTACATGAGGCTGAGCCCGAATACAACAATATAAGCAAAACAACAACAGTACAAGCAATTAAAATAAAACATAGACAATAAAATATACAACATTATCAATAAGACAACATGCAATTAAAAACAGTGGGAAGGCCAAATGTAAAGTTAAAATGGAAATAATGCTGGGACATGGACGAAAGGTGATAGTGGCGTTTGTGGAAGGGCATACGAGCAGATCTAAAAAATGTAAAGTGCTTTGGAGGACAAAGTGCTATGGGATCATTATTCCGGGAAGGCACACTGGAACAACCACGTCTTCAAGCTCCTCCTGAAGACTGCCAAGGTTGGGGCCTGTCTGATGTCTTTAGGGAGTGAGTTCCAGAGTCGAGGGGCCACCACCGAAAAGGCCCTCTCTCTCGTCCCCACCAACCGTGCCTGCGATGCTGGTGGGATCGAGAGCAGGGCCTCCCCGGATGATCGAAAGGATCGTGTGGGTTCGTATATAGAGATGTGGTCAAGCAGGTAGGCGGGTCCCAAACCGTTCAGGGCTTTGTAGGTAAGAACCTGCACCTTGAATTGGGTCCGGTAAATGAATGGCAGCCAGTGGAGCTCCTTGAACAGGAGGGTTGACCTCTCCCTGTAAGGAGCCCCAGTTAACAATATGGCTGCCGCCCGTTGGATCATCTGAAATTTCCGGGCTGTTTTCAAGGGCAGCCCCACGTAGAGTAAATGGCAGTAATCCAGTCTAGCCTCACTGGGAAGGTGTAAGTGAAGGGCAGAGCCAGCTGCAGGCGTCCGGGGCGTCCGGGGTATGGAAAAAAGAGATAGAGTGGCTCTGGGCCCAGAAAAACAACTCTTTTACCTGTCTGGCCCGCCCTTGTATCCTATTACCGTACCTCCTCCTCTGCCTCTCAGATCTCGCTCCTGAAGACTGCAGTGAAGCGGTGCAGGTGCGCATGCGAGATCTGAGAGGCAGAGAAGGAGGTACAGTAATAGAAAAATTACCATATTGAAATCAAATCTGATGCTTTTAAATTTTTTATTTGGTGTGTGTTGGAAGAGGGGTAGTCTCATATGGCGAGTATATCCCAAACTCTATATTTTAACTGGAAAAGTTGGGGGTTGTCTTATACGCCCAGTCATCTTATATGCCGGAATATACAGTACATATATTTCAGGCCGCTTCTACACTGACATATAATCCAGATTAACAAATCAGATAATCTACATTATTTATTTATTTACTATATTTGTATACCATCCTTCTCAGCCTGCAGGCGACTCAGGACTCATTATCTCCATTGAACTAGATTATATGAGTCTACACTGCCATGTAAACCAGTTCAGAGCAGGTAATCTAGGTTTTATTCGGCAGTGTAGATGGGACCTCAGTAAAGCAGAATCAACAGAAGAAACAAAAGGCTTTATATGTAGCAATCTAGTTTGGTAAAAACATACTGAATAGTAACAAACAGGATTAAATAAAATTATATATTTATTTGTCGTGTCAGGGCAACCAGTCAATTATATTACATTTCTAACAGAACAAAGCAAACAAACAGACAAAATACAAAATTTGTGAGTTTGGTAGTTGATTAAATGTCCTTTGACTAGTATCTGGCCACTTGGAGTGCTTCTGGTGTTGCTGCAAGAAGGTCCTCCATTGTGCATGTGGCAGGGCTCAGGTTGCATTGCAGCAGGTGGTCTGTGGTTTGCTCTTCTCCACACTCGCATGTCGTGGATTCCACTTTGTAGCCCCATTTCTGAAGGTTGGCTCTGCATCTCGTGGTGCCAGAGCGCAGTCTGTTCAGCGCCTTCCAAGTCGCCCAGTCTTCTGTGTGCCCAGGGGGGAGTCTCTCATTTGGTATCAGGCATTGGTTGAGGTTCTGGGTTTGAGCCTGCCACTTTTGGACTCTCGCTTGCTGAGGTGTTCCAGCGAGTGTCTCTGTAGATCTTAGAAAACTATTTCTAGATTTAAGTCGTTGACGTGCTGGCTGATACCCAAACAGGGGATGAGCGGGAGATGTCACTGCCTTGGTCCTTTCACTATTGGCTGCTACTTCCCGGCGGATGTCAGGTGGTGCAATACCGGCAAAGCAATGTAATTTCTCCAGTGGTGTAGGGCGCAGACACCCTGTGATGATGCGGCATGTCTCATTAAGAGCCACATCCACTGTTTTAGTGTGGTGAGATGTGTTCCACACTGGGCATGCATACTCAGCAGCAGAGTAGCACAGCGCAAGGGCAGATGTCTTCACTGTATCTGGTTGTGATCCCCAGGTTGTGCCAGTCAGCTTTCGTATGATATTGTTTCTGGCACTCACTTTTTGCTATAAATAAAATAATATTCTTTCTAATCCAATAGGTACATTGCTTGTAATCTAAGAAACCATAGACAATCTGCTGTACACTGAGATCTTCTTGTATTTATACGCCATGGATTAATACATCCCCTTTCCTGATATTTTTCTTGTTATTGCCAATTTAGAAAACATCAACAGATATTGAAGGGCGGATTCTTGATCAGTGCATTGCCGAAGAAGACCAGCTTTTTAAGGCTCTGGAACACTATAGAGATGACGCGACTAACATAATACGTCTGACTCAACTCAAGGCTGACGAGAGGGAACAAAAATCAAAGGATTCTTTGAAGGCCCAGGTAAGAAATGTCCTAGAGATAACTGATTCATACATTAGATATTGATATGTTATTTACCTGGACTTGCCAGGTACCTATAGACTTCAGCTTGAGCCATGGTTTCTGCTTCGCACTAAGGCTATTTTCAGTCCAAACCACTGGCAAGTCTACTCTTAATTGTGATATGATTGTTCTTCTTCTTCTCCTGCACACACATGGAATGGATTGTCACAGGAGTTTGGACTACATAGTGACGTTTGGTAAGTTAATTTTTCTATCAGTCCCTCTTTCCACCAAAAAAAGTCACCTGATATACTAGCACTAGGGCGAGTCATATGCAATTGTGATGTTGAGAGATACTCATGTAGATTGCTTGATTTTTATTACATTTATATCCCACTTGTCTTTCAAACAGTTTCAGGTGCTATACAGGTTCTTCCTGCCCTACTCATTTTGTCTAGAAAACAACCTGGTGGTGCTGATTAGGTAGACAGCTAAATTCGTCGCTATGACATGGTGTTTAATGATATTGCTAAATTATTTAATCTCTTGATAAGAACTGGACTGGGAAATGATTCCAGAATAAGATTTGGCAGCTAGTCGAGATGGTTGTATTTCCATGGGAAATGCAGTGTAGTGAAACACTACATTGAAGAAAAAAAAACACACTTCTGAAGTTAGTCAAGTAACTTTTGCCATCTAAGGGTAAAAATTCTCAAAGTGCCTTTCTGCCATTCCAGCAGGAAAATATAATCATCTATATAAATAAAAATGTAATGTTCGTTTGTGCTATTCACAGAACTCAGAAACCACTGGGGCAATTGACACCAAATTTGGACACTATGTCCCTAACAACCCAATGTATGTTCTCCACTCAAAAAAATCATGAAAACATAAACCAGAAAGGACTTCTAAACTGCATGTCCACAAAGAGACCTATGGCCACGCCCCCTCCTCCTCGCGCCGTTAAAGCCTTAGAAGCCAGGCACACATGCACGGCCACACACATGCACACACACACACAAGCAAGAGTGGGCACCATGGGAGTGAGGAAAAAGAGGAGGAGGACGGTGGATGGGCTCCTCAAGTCCCTTCCTCGCCAGCAGAAGCAGCAGCCTTTTCCCTCTTGGCTTTCCCCCCTCCCTTTTGTCGCCTCCTCTTCCTCCAAGATGCCCCGGTAGAAGCAGCAGGCAGGAGGGAGGGAGGGAGGAGGGGAGAGAGACTGTTTGACCTGCTCGGGAGCACATTACTCCTGACCTCACAATCGTGTTAAAAACAAAGTATGGATTGTTGATGTTGCAATCCCAGGTGACAGCAGGATTGAAGAGAAACAACTGGAAAAACTGACACGATATGAGGATTTAAAGATCAAACTGCAAAGACTCTGGCACAAGCCAGTCAAGTTGTCCCAGTGGTGATTGGCATTCTGGGTGTAGTGCCTAAAGACCTTGGCCTATACTTCAACACAATCGGCGCTGACAAAATTACCGTCTTGTCAGCTGCAGAAGGCCACATTACTGGGATCTGCATGCATTATTCACAGATACATCATACAGTCCTAGAAGTGTCCGACGTGTGATCCAATACAACAGCCAGAAGAGTGTCTGCTGTGGACTCACCTTGTTGTGTTTCAAATAATAATAATATTTATTTCTAGACCCCCTCTCTCCCTGGAGGGACTCAGGATGGGTTGCACACAAAAAAGGCAAGCATTCAATGTCACAAAATGAGTACAAACACATCAACACAATACAGAATAATGGATAATAACAATAATAAACTTACAATGAAAGAATTGAGCATCAACATAAAAACAAGACAGAAACAGTCTGCTGAAACATAAAAAACTGAAACATGAGTAAACATTACAGTATACACCCTGAAAGCAAATTAAGAAACTTTACATTAAAAACATTACATTAAAAATGGCTAGCCCCACGTAGGCAACCAAAGGCAACCCCATGGGAAGCTTTATCCTTATGCTCCCTTGGTGTTCTGGTACAGCCGCACCAGGAGCTCCAGCTTATCTTGCTATTTGTTGATTACTGCATGTATTTTAAAGTTCTATGCCTTTGCAGTTAGATGGCTTTCCTTACTTTGCAGTTACTGCTTGTCAATTATCATTAGGTTCCCTGGTCCCGCCCCCTTTTTGGGCTTTGGAAGGGAAGTGAGCCATTTTGTTAGTTAGTCTCAGCCAGGTTAGCCTTTGTATAGGATGTGTGTAACTTCCCCTGTACAAAGGCTTCAAGCTTTAAGAATTTCCAGGGTTACAGAAATCCCAACAGAAACAGAAGGGAAAGAAATCCAGAGGAGAACAGCTTTAAGAGACTCCTAAGGAACTCCATGGAAGCATTCCCTCAGCTTTGGGAATTTCCAGGAAACAGCCCTAAAGACAAAAGAACTCCACCTGGAAAATATCCACTGCCTTGCTGGTAGATTCACTCGGCGTTCGAGAAGCAGTTCGGCCCGGTAGCGGAGCCCAGACCAGTGAGGGTTGGATTTCAGTCAGCCTGGGAGAAGTTAAAAAGGGGTTTTTTCCTTTAAAGAAGAAGTTACTGAAGATAGTTGCCTGTCCTTCATGGGCAAGTTTAGGAATTCACCAGTTCCCTAGAAGCTTGGAATTATTTGCTTTACTTTGCTAAAGATAAGAGAAGTTCCTGTTTGATTGTTCATTAATAAAAGACTTTGTTGTACTTCTCAAGCCATCTGAAGATTCTTTGTAGTGGAAACCTCTGAGAACTTCTCCTTAGACCTCTGGCTTCCCGCTGGGCAAAGGTTACACATCCTATTTTTAAAGCCAACTAACTACAGGCCCAGCGGCGACAGAACAACTCCAGTGGTTTAAAGTGTTCTCTAGTCCTCCTCCTCTCCATAGGCTAAAGTGCATGTGCATTTTTAGAGGTTTCTTAAAGGAAAAGAGGATGGAGGTCTTTTTTATTTCTTTAGGGAGGGAGTTCCAGAGACGGGGAGTGATCACAGAGAAGGCCCCCTGTCTCGTTCCCATCAACCGAGCTTTTGACATGGTTGGGACTAAGACGAGGGCACACAACATTCTTACAACTTCCAGAAATATTTACTACTTTTTCTAATGCAGGTACGGCTCAACAACATTATTGCAGACATAAAAACAAAAGACTTTGAAATCAGGGAACATAAGAAGAAGCAAAGAGAAATTCTGAGACAGTAAGGACATTTTGGATCATTGGTTTGATGAATTGATTTCATCAGTGATTTGAGATTATTCAGAACTTTCCTAATGAAATACTTTTGATTTACAGGATGAAAGAATTTGCTAAAATGTATGATGTTGTAAGACATGAGAGAAACAAACTGGTGAACCTTGTACATTGTGCTCGCCAAAAAACACATGAAATTAAAGAGAAGGTAAAAATGCTGGATAATGAGACAGAAATCTTAAGGAACAATGTCATAATTAAAGAGAGGTACGTAGCTAATTAACTATTTTTTTGAAGAACATATCCTTTCTTTAGTTTGAGAACTAGGCCTGGAATCCTCTTGATGTCTATATCTGTAGGCAATCATTTGTGGCTGAGTCAAAATGTCTTCCAAGGGTAGAGTCTTGATGGTGGGGCCACCAATCTGCATGGTCTTGGTGGTGGGTCCACCATCTGCATGGTCTTGATGGTGGGTCCACCATTTGCATGGTCTTGGTGGTGGGTCCACCAATCTGCATGGTCTTGGTGGTGGGTCCACCATCTGCATGGTCTTGGTGGTGGGTCCACCATCTGCATGGTCTTGGTGGTGGGTCCACCAATCTGCATGGTCTTGGTGGTGGGTCCACCATCTGCATGGTCTTGGTGGTGGGTCCACCAATCTGCATGGTCTTGATGGTGGGTCCACCAATCTGCATGGTCTTGGTGGTGGGTCCACCAATCTGCATGGTCTTGGTGGTGGGTCCACTAATCTGCATGGTCTTGGTGGTGGGTCCATCAATCTGCATGGTCTTGGTGGTGGGTCCACCATCTGCATGGTCTTCCTTGTTGAGGAAATAGATTTCCAGATGGAAAGTGGTCACAATTCTCCCTTTTGCTCTGTATCTGTACCTCTTCAAAATCCACAGCACTGTTGGCAAGAGCTGACCTCCAGTTAGAATGCTCGAGAGCCAGGGCCTCCCAGTTCTCAGTGTTTACGCCACATTTTTTTAGGTTTGCTTTAAGCCAACACATTTCTTTTATTGTCCATCAACATTCTGTCTCACAAAGCAGTTATTTTATTATTATCTCAAGAACAGAAAATGAAGAGAGTTAAAGATGGTCTTGAAGCTAACTTCTTGGAGCATGATTTCAAACTGGTGGAATTTTAAATTTAAAATTTTGAATGTTTATATCTGTTTTTAACTGTTGTTTCAATTATGATTGTTTAAATAATGTTCGGCATCTGATGATTGCCTATTGTAAAGCCGCCCTGAATCCCTCCTTGGGGGTGAGAAGGACAGGGTACAAATGCGTGCAATAAATTTATTTATTTATTTACTATATTTATATACTGTCCCTCTCAGCCCGCAGGCGACTTGGGGCTGTTTACAGTCGGTACCAAGACCATAAAATACAGTTAAAAGCATTAAAATCATATTAAACCATAGCAAAGTCAATAAAAACATGTATCATTAGTGTCTCCTTATTTAAAACATTTATTAAAATACATGTACTGTTCTGAGCACCTGAATTTCTTGAGTCTTTGTTGATGGCTCCTGAGTCCATGGACTTTTCTCTCTCTCTGCCACCATCTACTCTGGTCTAGTTACACTGGTGAGGTGCACCCACATGCCAGTCATATATTTTTTCTCTCTCATAATGTTTTTTGAGGTCAAGGCCTTTTTTTAAACCAGCCAGTGCTCTGGGTATAGGAGGTGAGGGGCCATAGAAACACTTGCAATCACTTTCCTTTATTTTGGGAAGTTGTATTTATCTTTCCCGCTGGGTACAGCCTTATGCCTTTGGATTCTTTATTGTAATACTCTAATAAGTATTTATAGAAACACAGAAGTTATAGGCCAATGAAAACAGTTCTGTTTCAGTTAAAGCAATGATTCCCACATTTTAGTTTTCCAAGTACCATTTATTCTAGCGTATGCACCCGCACCTTGGGAAGTCTGATCTGACCACAGTGGTCCACGCTCTTGTTACATCCTGAATAGATTACTGCAACGCGCTCTACGTGGGGTTGCCTTTGAAAACTGTTTGGAAACTTCAGTTAGTCCAATGGGCGGCAGCTAGATTAATCACCGGAGCGTCATACAGGGAACATACCACCCCTCTGTTGTGTCAGCTCCACTGGCTGCCGATCCAGTTCCGAGCACAATTCAAAGTGTTGGTTTTGACCTATAAAACCCTATACGGCTCCGGCCCAGCATACCTGTCCGAACGTATCTCCTTCTATGTCCCACCTCAGAGTTTAAGATCTTCTGCGGAGACCCTGCTCTCAGCCCCGCCTCTATCACAAGTGAGGTTGGTGGGGATGAGGGACAGGGCCTTCTCAGTGGTGGCCCCTCGCCTGTGGAATTCACTCCCTGGGGAAGTTAGGTCATCAACATCCCTCCTCTCCTTCAGAAGGAAGTTGAAAACATGGATATGGGATCAGCCTTTTGGGTAATCTGGCAGACACAAGGTAATGATGACCAGAATTTGGAATGGACTATGGTAATGCTGAATGGATTTACAGATTCTAGAACTCGGTGAACGTTGGCCACTAGATTGGCTTTTTAGTTGTTATTGTATTAATTGAATGTTTTAATTATTGTGGTTATTGCTGTCATGTATTTTATCTGATGAATTGTTGGCATCGAATTGTGCCGGTTGTAAGCCGCGCTGAGTCCCCCCTAGGGGGTTGAGAAGTACCCGAAATAAATAAATAAATAAATAAATAAATAAATAAGACTACTTTTTAACCCAAGAAAATCATCTCAAAAGTCAGGGGTCGTCTTATACGTGGGAGTCGTCTTATACACGGGAGTCTTCTTATACACTGGAGTAGCCTTGTGCATAGAGGCGTCTTATATGCGGGACTAGTCTTATATACCCGGAGTCATCTTATAGAGCGGGTGCTGAAACTTCCAATCCGGATTGGAGAATCTTTGCTTGCTGCATATTGTGGAGGGAGCTCAAAAATTGCAGTGGCCGTATGCAGCGACTGTATGAAAGCATTAAGGCCGATGCTGTACAAGTATGGTAGAAGAAAATCCATTCATCAGGATTCATGGACTTAATGCAGTCCTGATAATGAGGTGAAGGGGCACCTCACCGGGAAGGTGTAAGTGAAGGGCGGAGCAAGCTGCAGGCATCCGGGGCTCCCGGGGTATAGAAAAAAGAGATAGAGTGGCTCTGAGCCCAGAAAAACACAACTCTTTTACCTGTCTGGCGCGTGCTTGTATCCTATTACCGTACTTCCTCCTCTGCCTCTCAGATCTCGCTCCTGAAGATTGCACTGAAGTGGTGCAGGTGCGCATGTGCGAGATCTGAAAGGCAGAGAAGGAGCTACAGTAATAGGAAATTTATTTATTTATTTATTTATTTATTTATTTCGGTCATTTCTACCCCGCCTTTCTCACCCCCTAGGGGGGACTCATGGCGGCTTACATCTGGCACAATTCGATGCCCACAATTACAATAAAATGCAATAGCAATAACAGAATAGATTAAAAACAGACAATTAATACAGTACAGTATAACACAATACAATATCAACTAAAACCGCTCTATAGTCCGCGTTCATTGTGTTCTAAAATCCGTCAATCCGTTTAGCATTGCCATAGTCCTTTCCAACTCTAGTCATCATTATCTTGTTACCCTGCCAGACTACCCAAATGCCTGGTCCCATATCCATGTCTTCAGCTTTCTCCTGAAGGAGAGGAGGGATGTTGACAACCTAATTTCCCCGGGGAGTGAATTCCACAGGTGAGGGGCCACCACTGAGAAGGCCCTGTCTCTCGTCCCCACCATATTGAAATCAAATATGATGCTTTTAATTTTTTTATTTGGTGTGTGTTGGAAGAGGGGTAGTCTTATACGGCGAGTATATCCCAAACTCTGTATTTTAACTGGGAAAGTTGGGGGTCGTCTTATATGCCCAGTCATATGCCAGAATATACAGTATTTTTTGCATTTTAGTTCCCAGCAGTCTCAGTCACTTTGACCAATGGTCAGATTCTGGGAGCTGAAGTCCAAAGTACCTGTAAGACCAGAGTTTGGGAAGCAGTTGGTTAGAATATTTCAGAGTGTTGCTAATGAGTGGCTTCTAGGGCATTATGGATAATTGAGTTTTGTAGTGGATACTTGAGTTTTATAGGTCTAGTAATGCAAAAATAGAGGGGGGGGGGGAGAGATACAAGGCACAAAGCAAAAATATTAATAGAAGTTGGAGGAGGCATTACCCATGGTCAGGCAATAATCCTGGGGAAGAATCATTCCCAAGAAAGCTGGGATTTAGTGAATAATGTTCTCATTTTGTTCAGAAAATTGCAAAAATACCAGCTGAAGCTGTCAAATAATGTTAAAGTCAAAGACAGCATCCAAAGTGATGTCCGAAAGCTTTATCAAACGCTCCAGGAGATGAAAGAAAAGCGAGAGCAGCAGCTGATGGACGTAGAGAGGCTCACCAACATGCTAACCCGGATTGAGGAGGAAATGGTCCAGTTGAAGAACAAATATGAAAGGGCTGTTCAGCGCCGAAATGAGAGGTAAAGGGGAAAGTGGACCTTAAGGGCATTGAGATGGTCCTAGAGCATTGGTTCTCAACCTGTGGGTCCCCAGGTGTTTTGGCCTACAACTCCCAGAATCCCCAGTCAATTTACCAGCTGTTAGGATTTCTGGGAACTGAAGGCCAAAACATTAATATCACTGTTTAGTTGTTATGTAATCAATTTTATATTGCTGTTTTATATTGTTGTTTTGATACTGTTGGCATTGAATTGTTGCCTGTGTTAGCTGCCCTGAGTCCCCCCTCAGGGGTGAGAAGGGCAGGGTAGAAATGGTCTAAATCTCCATTGGGGGGCCTACACCAGCTGGATCGCCGCGGGGATCGCTTGAGCCGGGCCCTGGCTGTGTGAGCCGTGCTGCCCTCACCATCGGGCCTCGCTCTCCCCTCCGTGGGGTGTCGGAGCGAGTTAGGGCTTATTGCTAGGGCCGAAGCCGCTACATAACAACATAAAAAAAACCAGCTACTACGTCCATTTCGGCCGGCGGGGAGTCGAGGATTACCATCGCCGAGCAGCTCGTCCCCCGAGAGGTAGAGCATCTCGGCCGCCGCCATTACCGGCTTGAATGCGCTCCCTCCCCTCGCCGCTCGGGCTGGATTGGATGCGGCTTGACTGGCCTCTGACCATCTTGGCTGCTTGCCGGCGTCGCCGCGCCACCACATCGCGACCTGGAGGTGCTGAGTCCTGGGCCCGCTGGCTTCCCATCGCTCTGGCCCCGTCGCTCCGGCTGATCTCCTGGCCCTCCCTGGTTTTCCATCTTTCCAGTCCCGGCGTTCCAGCTGATTTCTATCGTCCAGCAGTGCCTGCAACAAGGCTTGTCGTGTCCTGAACGGCCTTACCATCTTCTACCACTTGGGCCTCCACCATCTGGGCAAGCCGCGTATAGACCTTTTGTGCTGACCTCTGCTGTGTTGCTGTGTTGACTGATATTGTGTAGATCTTTTGTGCTGGCCTTTGTTGTGTCGATAGATATTGTGATAGACCAATTGTGCTGACCACCGCCGTGTTGACCATCTCCGGAAGATTGAAGACCTATCCGCTTTTAACATCAACCGGCTAGAGATTACACCTTGAATCATAACAACCTTATCTAATTGCTATCATCAGCATCTTCATAATAGTGTGTTTACATATTACTAACATAGTACGTTCCTTGGTTGTCTTTCGCTGCTAATTTGATATAAGAACGCATTATAGCACCTAGGCGCCTGCCACTGCTGCTAAACTATACCAGCACTTACGCCCCCTTCCTTATCCCTCTATGCCGCACTTTAGTTAGCGTTGAATGCCAGTGTCGGGTATCTGTTGCACTTTAAGATCTCTGCACTTTATGAATTTGCACTTTACGAACTATCTAACTGACGTGGCTGGAACGCTTATCACCGTCTGAATTCTATTGTTATCCATGTGGTTCCCCATCCCCCTATTTGTATTGTCCCTGTTATTATTGACCAGCGGAAGGGGCAAGGGAGGAGGTGGGCTGGAACCGGTGAACAAGAATGAGGCGGGGAGGGGGGAGGAAGGGGAGCAAGGGAGATGGCAAGGGCCAACGAACCAAACAACGAGCGAAACAGAAATTAAGACCTTGGTTTCAGATTGCGGCATGGAGGAGGGGAGGTGTTCCACTAGCCGAGGGGCCCCCATAGAGGTCGTGGTGGGGAGGGGGAGATGCGGAAAAAGGAGACCTCAAATTCGGCCTAATTCGGACCGCGTATCTACATTAATAATCCCAAATCGGTCTCCTAAGGTAAATTGGTGTAACCAGGCGAGCGGGCCCTCTGGATTGAAGGTGGTGCTGTTGAACGCCAGGTCTGTCAACGGAAAAACGACCTTTATTCAGGATTTAATCCTGGATGAGCGGGCAGACCTGGCGTGCATTACGGAGACCTGGCTGGATGAGGCTGGAGGCGTAAATCTTACCCAGCTTTGTCCTCCAGGCTTCTCCGTACAGCACCAACCGAGATCCGGGGGACGGGGAGGCGGGGTCGCAGTGGTCTATAGAGATTCCATCCATCTGACCAGGAGTCCCATCCCGCAGACCACAAATTTTGAATGTGTCCACCTGAGGGTGGGTGACCGGGACAGAATAGGGATTCTGTTAGTGTACCGTCCACCTCGCTGCACTACAGTCTCCCTACCTGAGCTAGCGGGGGTAGTCTCGAGCCTGGCGTTGGAGTCTCAACGGCTTCTTGTGCTGGGGGACTTCAACATCCATGCCGAGGCGACCCTCACAGGAGCGGCTCAGGACTTCATGTCCGCCATGGCAACCATGGGGCTGTCCCAACAAATATCTGGCCCCACCCACTGTGCTGGACATACATTGGACTTGGTTTTCTGCCAGGGATGGGAGCAGGGTGGCGGTGTGGAGGAGTTGTCCATCTCTCCGTTGCCATGGACCGACCACTTCCTGATCAGATTTAGGCTCACTGCGCCCCCTAACCTCTGCAAAGGTGGAGGACCCATTAAGATGGTCCGCCCCAGGAGGCTTATGGATCCGAATGGATTCCTGACGGCTCTTGGGGATTTTCCCGCCACCTCGGTAGGTGACCATGTCGAGGCCTTGGTCGCTCTCTGGAATGGGGAGATGACCAGGGCAATTGACATGAGCGCTCCGGAACGTCCCCTCTCAAGTAGCCGAGCTAAACCAGCCCCTTGGTTTACTGAGGAGCTGGCAGTGATGAAGCGAAGGAAGAGGGAACTAGAGAGCGTGTGGCGTTCGGACCCAAGCGAGCCAAATCGAGCACGGTTTGTGTCCTTTTTAAGGGCATATGCCGCGGCAATAAAAGCCGCAAAGAAAACTTTCTTTGCGGCCACTATTGCGTCTGCAAAAACCGTCCGGCGGAGTTGTTCCGGATTGTCAGAGGTCTTTTAACTCCCGCCACCTCAGGCGGGAGCCCTGACAATTCGGTCACGCGCTGCGAAGCATTTGCTCGGTTCTTTGCAGACAAAGTCGCTTTGATCCGTTCTGGCTGGACACCATGTTAAATGCAGTCTCTGAGGATGTGACACGAGCACCTGCTTGTCCTATTTTGATGGATTCTTTTCCAGTTTGTGAAGCCCGAGGATGTGGACAAGATACTTGGAGGAATGAGGCCCACCACGTCCATCCTAGACCCCTGCCCATCCTGGCTTCTGAAGGAGGCCAGAGGGGGATTGGCTGAGTGGGTAACGGTGGTGGTTAATGCCTCCCTTCGGGAAGGCAAGATTCCAGCGAGCCTAAAACAGGCTATTATAAAACCGCTGTTGAAGAAACCATCATTGGACCCCACTAAATTTGACAACTTTCGGCCTGTTTCCAATCTCCTTCTTGGGCAAAGTCATGGAAAGCGTGGTGGCCTCACAACTCCAGGTATTCTTGAGAGACACGGATTATCTGGATTCGGCACAGTCTGGTTTCAGACCGGGACATGGTACCGAGACGGTCTTGGTCGCCTTAGTGGATGATCTGCGCCGGGAGCTAGACAGGGGGAGTGTGTCCCTGTTGGTGCTCCTGGACCTCTCAGCGGCCTTCGATACCGTCGACCACGGTATCCTTCTGGGGCGCCTTGCGGAGATGGGTCTTGGGGGCACTGCTTTGCAGTGGCTCCAGTCATTTCTGGAGGGTCGTACCCAGAAGGTGTTAGTGGGGGACTCCTGTTCAACGCCACAGCCTTTGACTTGTGGGGTTCCACAGGGCTCTATATTGTCCCCCATGCTGTTTAATATCTACATGAAGCCGCTGGGTGAGATCATCCGGAGTTTCGGGGTGCGGTGTCATCTGTACGCAGATGATGTCCAACTCTGTCACTCCTTTCCACCTGCTACTAAGGAGGCTGTCGAGGTCCTGAACCGGTGCCTGGCCGCTGTAATGTGGATGAGGGCGAACAAACTGAAATTAAATCCAGACAAGACAGAGGTACTCCTGGTCAGTCGCAAGGCCGAACAGGGTATAGGGTTACAGCCTGTGCTGGACGGGGTCGCACTCCCCTTGAAGGCACAGGTTCGCAGCTTGGGTGTGACCCTGGATTCATCATTGAGCCTGGATCCCCAGGTTTCAGCGGTGACCAGGGGAGCATTCGCACAGCTTAGGCTCGTGCGCCAGCTGCGCCCGTACCTTGGGAAGTCTGACTTGGCCACGGTGGTACATGCTCTGGTCACATCCCGCCTTGACTACTGCAACGCTCTCTACGTGGGGCTGCCCTTGAAGACGGCCCGGAAGCTTCAGCTAGTCCAGCGCGCGGCAGCCATGTTACTAACGGAGCGGGACGCAGGGAGCACACAACGCCCTTGCTGTTCCAGCTCCACTGGCTGCCGATCTGCTACCGGGCCCAATTTAAGGTGCTGGTGCTATCCTACAAAGCCCTAAACGGTTCCGGCCCAAAATACCTTTCGGACCGCATCTCGGCCTATGAGCCCACGAGGACCTTGAGATCATCTGGGGAGGCCCTTCTCTCGATCCCGCCTGCTTCACAGGCACGCCTGGCGGGGACGAGAGAGAGGGCCTTCTCAGTGGTGGCCCCCCGGCTGTGGAACGACCTCCCTGTTGACATCAGACAGGCGCCCTCCCTTTTGTCCTTCCGCAGGAGCCTAAAGACCTGGCTTTTCGAGAAGGCATTTAACTGAATATTACGGCAACTGGCAATTGACATCTGGAACGGAATATGGACTACGATATTGGATATGATTCTATGATATGACGAAGCGGATTATTTAGTGTAACTTATAGTATTGTGTATTATTGTTGTATGGATTTCTTGTTTCTGTTTTTTGTAAACTGTTTTTATATGCTGTACACCGCCGCGAGTCGCCCTAGGGCTGAGAGCGGCGGTCAATAAATGCACCAAATAAAATAAATAAATAAATAAATAAATAAATGCATATATACACACGCAAAACACATATATACAGAAAGGGGGAAGGAAGGAAGGAAGGAAGGAAGGAAGGAAGGAAGGAAGGAAGGAAGGAAGGAGGACACGGGAGAGGGAGGGAGGAAAGAAGGGAGAGAAAGAGGGAAAGAAGGAGGGAAGGAGAGACGGAAGGAAAGAAGGGTAGAGAAGGAAGGAAAGAGAGAAGGAATTAAAAAAGTGAAAGAAGGAAGGAAAGAGAGGGGGAAGGAAGGAGAGAAGGAACGAAAGAGAGAAAGAGGGAGGGAGGGAAGGAAGGAAAGAGAGAAGGAAGGATGGAACCAAAGAGCAAAGGGAGGGAGGAGAGAAACAGAGAAGGAAGAAAGAAGAAGGGAAAGGAGAAGGGAAAGAAAAATTGGGAAGGAAAGAGGGAAGGAAGGAAGGAGAGAAAGAAATAAAAAAAGTGAAAGAAGGAAGGAAAGAGAGGGGGAAGGAAGGAGAGAAGGAAGGAAAGAGAGGAGAAGAGGGAGGGAAGGAAGGAAAGAGAGAAGGAAGGATGGAACCAAAGAGCAAAGGGAGGGAGGAGAGAAACAGATAGAAAAGGAAGAAAGAAGAAGGGAAAGGAGAAGGGAAAGAAAAATTGGGAAGGAAAGAGTGAGGGAAGGAAGGAAGGAGAGAAAGAAATAAAAAAGTGAAAGAAGGAAGGAAAGAGAGAGGGAAGGAAGGAGAGAAGGAACGAAAGAGAGAAAGAGGGAGGGAGGGAAGGAAAGAGAGAAGGAAGGATGGAACCAAAGAGCAAAGGGAGGGAGAAGAGAAACAGATAGAGAAGGAAGAAAGAAGAAGGGAAAGGAGAAGGGAAAGAAAAATTGGGAAGGAAAGGGGGAAGGAAGGAAGGAAGGAAAGAAAGAAGGAGAAAAAGGGGAAGGTTGGCCACAGCAACACATGGTGGGCACAGCTTGTTGTTGTTCATTCGTTCAGTCGTCTCCGACTCTTCGTGACCTCATGGACCAGCCCACGCCAGAGCTCCCTGTCAGCCGTTACCACCCCCAGCTCCCTCAAGGTCAGTCCAGTCACTTCAAGGATGCCATCCATCCATCTTGCCCTTGGTCGGCCCCTCTTCCTTTTTCCTTCCACTTTCCCCAGCATAATTGTCTTCTCTAGGCTTTCCTGTCTCCTCATGATGTGGCCAAAGTACTTCAACTTTGTCTCTAGTATCCTTCCCTCCAATGAGCAGTCGGGCTTTATTTCCTGGAGGATGGACTGGTTGGATCTTCTCGCAGTCAAGGCACTCTCAGAACTTTCCTCCAACACCACAGCTCAAAAGCATCCATCTTCCTTCGCTCAGCCTTCCCTAAGGTCCAGCTCTCATCCGTAGGTGACTACAGGGAATACCATGGCTTTGACTAGGCGGATCTTTGTTGCCAGTCTGATGTCTCTACTCTTTACTATTTTATCGAGACTGGACATTGCCCTCCTCCCAAGAAGTAAGCGTCTTCTGATTTCCTGGCCACAGTCTGCATCTGCAGTAATCTTTGCACCTAGAAATACAAAGTCTGTCACGGCCTCCACGGTTTCTCCCTCTATTTTCCAGTTGACAATCATTCTTGTTGCCATAATCTTGGTTTTTTTGACGTTTAGCTGCAACCCGGCTTTTGCGCTTTCTTCTTTCACCTTGATTAGAAGGCTCCTCAGCTCCTCCTCGCTTTCGGCCATCAGAGTGGTGTCATCTGCATATCTGAGGTTGTTAATGTTTCTTCCAGCAATCTTAACCCCAGCCTTGCATTCATCAAGCCCCACACACCGCATGATGTGTTCTGCATACAAGTTAAAAAGGTTGGGTGAGAGTATGCAGCCTTGTCGTACGCCTTTCCCAATCTTGAACCAGTCTGTTGTTCCGTGGTCAGTTCTGACTGTTGCTACTTGGTCCTTGTACAGATTCCTCAGGAGAGAGACAAGGTGGCTTGGGATGCCCATCCCACTAAGAACTTGCCACAATTTATTATGATCCACACAGTCAACGGCTTTAGAATAGTCAATGAAGCAGAAGTAGATGTTTTTCTGAAACTCCCTGCCTTTCTCCATTATCCAGCGGATATTGGCAATTTGGTCTCTCGTTCCTCTGCCTTTTCTAAACCCAGCTTGAACATCTGGCAACTCTCTCTCCATGTATTGCTGGAGTCTTCCTTGCAGGATCTTGAGCATTACCTTACTGGCATGAGAAATAAGGGCCACTGTACGGAAGTTTGAGCAGTCTTTCGCATTTCCCTTTTTTGGTATGGGGATGTAAGTTGCTTTTTTCCAGTCTGATGGCCATTCTTGTGTTTTCCATATTTGCTGGCAAATGGCCTGCATCACCTTGACAGCATCATCTTTTAAGATTTTAAACAGTTCAGCTGGGATCCCGTCGTCTCCTGCTGCCTTGTTGTTAGCAATGCTTCTTAAGGCCCATTCAACCTCACTCCTCAGGATGTCTGGTTCTAATTCATTCACCACACCGTCAAAACTATCCTCAATATTATTATTCTTCCTATACAGATCTTCTGTATAGTCTCGCCACCTTCTCTTGATCTCTTCAGCTTCTGTTAGGTCCCTGCCATCTTTGTTTCTTATCATACCAATTTTTGCCTGAAATTTAACTCCAATGTTTCTAATTTTCTGGAAGAGGTCTCTTGTCCTTCCTATTCTGTTGTCTTCTTCCACTTCCATGCATTACTTGTTTAAAAATAGTTCCTTATCTCTTCTGGCTAACTTCTGGAATTGTGCATTTAACTGGGCATATCTCCCCTTATCACAGTTTCCTTTTGCTTTCCTCCTTTCTTGGGCTACTTCCAGTGTCTCAGCAGACAACCATTTTGCCTTCTTGGTTTTCTTTTTCTTTGGGACGTACTTTGTTGCCGCCTCCTGAACAATGTCTCGGACTTCTGTCCATAGTTCTTCTGGGACTCTATTTACTAAATCTAGTCTTTTAAATTTGTTCTTCACTTCCACTGCATATTCGCTAGGAATGTTAGTGAGATCATATCTAACTGGTCTGTGTATTTTCCCTGATCTCTTTAGTTTTATTCTAAATTGGGCAATAAGAAGTTCGTGATCTGAGCTACAGTCAGCCCCAGGTCTTGTTTTCACTGACTGGATGGATGTCCGCCACCTTTGGCTGCAAAGGATGTAGTCAATCTGATTTCGGTGTTGACCATCTGGTGAGGTCCATGTATAAAGCCGTCTTTTAGGTTGTTGGAAGAGAGTATTAGTTATACACAGCGAGTTTTCCTGGCAAAATTCTATCAGCCTGCGTCCCGCTTCATTTTGTTCTCCCAGACCATGCTTGCCTGTGATCCCAGTTGTCATTTGACTTCCCACCTTGGCATTCCAGTCTCCTGTAATGAAAATAATGTCTCTTTTTGTGTATTATCCAGTAGTTCCTGCAGATCCTCATAGAACTGATCTACTTCTGCTTCTTCAGCAGCTGTGGTTGGGGCGTATATTTGGATCACTGTAATGTTGAAAGGCTTTCCTTGCACTCGAATTGAGATCATTCTGTCATTTTTTGGGTTGTATCCAAGCACCGCTTTAGCAAATTTCTTATTAATTATGAAGGCTACTCCATTTCTTCGATGTTCCTCTTGTCAGCAGTAGTAGATCTGGTGGTCATCTGATGTGAAGTGGCCCATTCCAGTCCATTTCAGTTCGCTGACCCCCAGAATATCTATCTTTAGTCTTGACATCTCACCAATAACAACATCCAATTTGCCCTGGCTCATAGATCTTACATTCCAGGTTCCTATGGTGTGTTGATCTTTAGAGCATCGGATTCGTCGTTCACCTCCAGTACCGTCGGCCGCTAGCCTTCCTTTCGGCTTTGAGCTAGCTGCGTCATCACATCTGGGGCTAGTTGAACTTATCATCTGCTCCTCCCCAGTAGCATTTTGGCCATCTTCCGACCTGGGAGTCCCATCTTCCAATGGCATACCGACATATCTCTGGTTGTACTGGTCCATTTAGTTTTCTTGGCAAGGATACTGGAGTGGTTTGCCATTGCCTTCCCCAGGGATCACACTTGGTCTGACCTCTCTGCCACGACTGTCCCGTCTTGGGTGGCCCTTCACGGTTTCGCTCATGACATCATTGAGGTGCTCAAGCTCCAGCGCCCCGACAAGGCGGTGATCCTTTGCTGGAGGGTGGGCACAGCTAGTAAATGATAAATTAACATGCAATCTAAAGGTTAAAAAAGGCCTAAGGAAGGATAATGATTTTGAAAATATATGGAAATATTTATTGAGGAAACATTAAGGAAAGAATATGGAAACCAACCCCCACCAGAAGGAATGAGGTTCTGGTGGGATCATAAAGGAAAGAAGAACTCTGGAGAAGGGGAGCACAAGGGGTAACACAACTGGGGAAAGGAGAAGAAGTAATTATGTGAATTATAGAGAATTTTTTTTTGTAATGAAATAAATATAAATGCAATCAAAATTTAAATTAAAAAAGGAGTAATAATATGCTTTAGGTCCATGTGAAATCATTGGACCAGAACTCCAGTTCTGAAAATATGAACAAATACATCCACTGCACGTGACGAAAAGATAAAAACACATGTGTAATGGGAACTTAGTCCAAAAGGAATCCAACCAAAGACATACTCTTGCTCAGAATGCTTACTCTGACTTTTAAGTCTTTATTTTGCTTGTCCCTGTAGTGGAGTTCTGCTCATAGAACGTGAAGACGAAGCATGCCTTTGTAATGAAAAAATAAATATCCAACAGATGATGAGTCGAAATGGTCATCTTGAAGTTGGGGTGATGGATGAGAAGATCCGCTTTCTGAAATTGAAGCTAAGTGAGAAAAAAAGGCTAATTGAATTATCAATGAAGATCCTTCCTCTGAAAAGAGGCCTAGATGCTGATTTGGTGGTCCTTCAGATTCAGGCAAGTGGAATTTAGCATTTTGGCTGGCATCATGTTTACTCAATTTACGATCGTGTAAAGTTGAATTGTATTGTTGTGCACTGTTTATATTCTCAGGAGAGGAGCAAGGGACATCACCATGTTCTCAAAACCAATGTGCAATCAGAGCCACCAAAGCATTATGGGTTCAATTGGATCCAAGGCAACTTGCAACCATTTAAAACAAAGCCTAACTTAGGAAACATTACTCTTCGTTCCACCAGATCTACCTGTCAAGGTAGTAAATAACCAAAAGTCACAGTAACAGAAGTGTGAGATGACTGATGGCATTTTTGGGAGGTCACTGATAGGCCTTGCAGCATAAAGACTGATCAGAGCTCATTAGTCTCCGAACAGGATTTGTCGTCTGAGTTTTTAATTTAAAATATTCCTACTTCCATACATTGATCTTCTGTGCAAATGCGCTCAGGGACTGGAGTTTAGATTTTTATTTTTCCTTAGCTTACTTACTTAGGCGATCCCTCGTTGTCCGAGTAGGATTGTCTTCCAAGATCGGTGTACTGGTGGTGGGTCCGTGGGTGACTGTAGAGCCCTATTCTTGACCTCCATGTGGTCCACACCTTAGTCACCTCCAAATTAGATTACTGTAATGTACTCTACGTGGGGCTGCCCTTGAAGACAGCTCGGAGATTTCAATTGGTCCAACGGGCGGCAGCCAGGCTACTTACTGGGGCGATTTACAGGGAGCGGTCAACCCCCCTGTTTAAGGAGCTCCATTGGCTGCTGTTCATTTTCCGATCCCAATTCAAGGTGCAGGTTCTGACCTACAAAGCCCTGAACGGTTTGGGACCCGCCTACCTGCGTGACCACATTTCTGTGTACAAATCCACACGATCTCTTCGTTCATCTGGAGAGGCCCACCTCCCTCGCAGGCGCGATTGGTGGGGACAAAGGAGAGGGCCTTCTCCATGGTCGCCCTTCGACTCTGGAATTCACTCCCCAAGGATATCAGACAAGCCCCCACATTGGCAGTCTTTAGGAGGAGCCTGAAAACGTGGCTGTTCCAGTGTGCCTTCCCTGAATAAAGGAAACAATCCCCTGCAAATACTCTGAAAAGCACTTTACTGCCCATTGGGTTGCTCTTTACTTTTGATTTAAAACTCTGCTAATAGATACATTCTCTGTTCATGTCCAGCATTTATTTTTAAAGTTTTAACTATTACATCTGGCCCAGCCAGGCAGATGCCCCCAAGCCCCCCCCCCCCCTGAAATTCTCATGGTGGTCCGCGAGAAGGCCTTACTGGTACATTATTTAAACTGTTATGTTTATTCATATCATGATCTGATCACCATGCTCAATATATCCCATATGTATGGGGCTATTGGGGTAACGATACAAAAGGTTTGCTAAGGTAGACCCTATTTCACTCAGACTCAGCCCCCACCCCTGAATCAAATTCAGCTCAACCCGAAACAAAATCCTGGCTACGGGCCGGTGCCCAACTATAGGTTTTTAAATTCTTGTGTGTTATTGTCTACTTGTGAGTTATATTAATTGTATTGTTTATCTTGTTTATTGCTTGTTGTTTTATTATTGCTTGTTGTTTTTGATGTGTTCTTGGGCTTGGCCTCATGTAAGCCGCTCCGAGTCCCTTGCGGAGATGGTGGTAGGGTATAAATAAAGTATTATTATTATTATTATTATTATTATTAGGTTCTTGTGGGTTTTTTCGGGCTATAGAGCCATGTTCTAGAGGCATTTCTCCTGACGTTTCGCCTGCCTCTATGGCAAGCATCCTCAGAGGTGAGGTCTGTTGGAAGTAGGAAAAATGGGTTTATATATCTGTGGAATGGCTGGGGTGGGGCAAGGAGCTCTTCCCTGCTGCAGTTAGGTGTGAATGTTAGCTGATCACCTTCATTAGCATTTGAAGGCCTGCCTAAACCTGGGAAATCTGTTGCTGGGAGGTGTTAATCTGTGCCTGGTTTTTTCCTCTCTGTTGTTTAGCTGTTATAATTTTAGAGTTTTTTAATACTGGTAGCCAGATTTTGTTCATTTTCATGGTCTCTTCCTTTCTGTTGAAATTGTCCACATGCTTGTGGATTTCAATGGCTTCTCTGTGTAGTCTGATGGTTTGTTGGTGTGGTCCAGCATTTCTGTGTTCTCAAATAATATGCTGTGTCCAGGCTGTTCATCAGGTGCTCTGCTATGGCTGACTTCTCTGGTTGAAGTAGTCTGCAGTGCCTTTCATGTTCCTTGATGCGTGTCTGGGCGCTGCGTTTGGTGGTCCCTATGTAGACTTGTCCACAGCTGCATGGTATACGGTAGACTCCTGCAGAGGTGAGAGGATCCCTCTTGTCCTTTGCTGAACGTAGCATTTGTTGGATTTTCTTGGTGGGTTTGTAGATTGTTTGTATGTTGTGTTTCCTCATCAGCTTCCCTATGCGGTCAGTGGTTCCCTTGATGTATGGCAGGAACACTGTTCCTCTCAACAACCACCATGTCAGACTACACAGAGAAGCCATTGAAATCCACAAGCATGTGGACAATTTCAACAGAAAAGAAGAGACCATGAAAATGAACAAAATCTGGCTACCAGTATTAAAAAACTCTAAAATTATAACAGCTAAACAACAGAGAGGAAAAAACCAGGCACAGATTAACACCTCCCAGCAACAGATTTTCCCAGGTTCAGGCAGGCCTTCAAATGCTAATGAAGGTGATCAGCTAAACATTCACACCTAATTGCAGCAGGGAAGAGCTCCTTGCCCCACCCCAGCCATTCCACAGATATATAAACCCATTGTCCTAATTCCAACAGACTCTACCTCTGAGGATGCTTGCCATAGATGCAGGCGAAACGTCAGGAGAAATTCCTCTAGAACATGGCTCTATAGCCCGAAAAAACCCACAAGAACCTAGTGATTCCAGCCATGAAAGCCTTCGACAATATATTATTATTATTATTATTATTATACTACATAAAGGCTATTTTTGAAATGGTCATATGACTGCTCAAATAAATAAATATTAATATTAATACATAAAGGCTATTGTGAACAGCAGTTTTCCCTCTGCAGTGCTCCATGACACCAAATATACTCCAGGGGGGCATCTTAGTTATTATTATTATTCTCCTGCATTGAGGGCATTGGTTTCCAGGTGGAAGGCAGTCTCGGTTGGGGTTGGCTTGACGCGCCTTCCTCTTGGCATGTTTCTCTCTTTCACCCTCTATTCGTGCCTCTTCAAATTCTGCAGCACTGCTGGTCACAGCTGACCTCCAGCTGGAGTGCTCAAGGGCCAGGGCTTCCCAGTTCGCAGTGTCTATGCCAGAATTTTCAAGGTTGGCTTTGAGCCCATCTTTAAATCTCTTTTCCTGTCCACCAACATTCCGTTTTCCATTCTTGAGTTCGGAATAGAGCATCTCATTTGGGTCGAGCATCTGGACAACGTGGCCGGTCCAGTGGAGTTGATGGTGGAGGACCATCGCTTCAATGCTGGTGGTCTTTGCTTCTTCCAGCAAGCTGACTTTTGTCCTCTTGTCTTCCCAAGAGATTTGCAGGATTTTTCGGAGGCAACACTGATGGAATTGTTCTAGAAGTTGTAGATAGTCCACGTCTTGCAGGTGTATAGCAGGGTTGGGAGGACAGTAGCTTTATAAACAAGCACCGTGGTATACTTATGGATGTCCTGGTCCTCAAACACTCTCTGCTTCATTCGGAAAAATGCTGCACTCGCAAAGCTCAGGCGGTGTTGTATTTCGGTGTCGATGTTGACTTTGGTGGAGAGGTGGCTGCCAAGGTAGCGGAAATGGCCAACATTTTCTAATGTTACACCATTAAGCTGTATTTCTGGAATTGGAGAGGGATTGGCTGGTGACTGCTGGAAGAGCACTTTGGTTTTCTCGATGTTCAATGACAGGCCGAAATTCTCGTATGCTTCCTTAACCTACTGTGATTGGAACCACAAGTTTTTGTTAGTGGAGCCCAAATGTACTTTGCAGGCACACAGTTGCAAAAGAGCAGTTCCATTTACGAAGCTTACTATAGAGAGGCTATTCTGCCCACTGTCAATAAGCTTTGACCAGATGGTCACAAAGAAAGGTTTCGGTCTTGTCACAAAGCATCAAGAAATGCCATGGAATGCCGTCCTGCTCAGGACATTCTTTCCTCCCTTTCTGGAAAAGCTTACTGAATTGTGTGACCTTATCAGCAACTCGTAACTTTTTCCACACAGTTACTCTTCGTGCCTTTTGACATATCAAATCTTCTGGTCTTTTTTGGGTGAAGAATCTCTGAGTCACTGAGTTGCAGCCCTGGGCTATACCTTAACTCATTTTGAGGAATTATATGTGAAGCAGAGAGTTTTCTCTAGATCCCCTAAGCAATGCAGAACAGTCCAGATAAATGTAGATACTGTGAGACACTACTGTTTAGAAGCAGCAGCGGTGGGGCAGGGCAAGAGTTTATTCATCTGCCAGGATGACTTATATACGGGGTGTCTCAAAAATGTATATACCTTTAACAGTTTATTATTCTGATTGATTTATTTATCGTGTCATCTGCAACCAGACCATTGTATTACATTTCTAACAGAACAAAACAAACAAACAAATAAAAAACCCACAAATTTTGCAAACTTGGTAGTTGATTAAATGTCCTTTGACCAGTATCTGGCCACTTGGAGTGCTTCTGGTGTTGCCGCAAGAAGGTCCTCCATTGTGCATGTGGCAGGGCTGAGGTTGCATTGCAGCAGGTGGTCTGTGGTTTGCTCTTCTCCACACTCGCATGTCGTGTATTCCACTTTGTAGCCCCATTTCTTAAGATTGGCTCTGCATCTCGTGGTGCCAGAGTGCAGTCTGTTCAGCGCCTTCCAAATCGCCCAGTCTTCTGTGTGCCCAGGGGGGAGTCTCTCATCTGGTATCACCCACGGATTGAGGTGCTGGGTTTGAGCCTGCCACTTTTGAACTCTCGCTTGCTGAGGTGTTCCAGCGAGTGTCTCTGTAGATCTAAGAAAACTGTTT